CGGCGCTCTTCCTTAGCACGACAGTATGGATGGATACTCAGGGATCCGGGTCTCATTGTTTCCGCCATTTTAGGCGGCATGACAGTGGTGTAACGGATTTGCCCCCCCCCCCCCCCCCCNCATCCCTGAGGGGGGGATACCTGTCCCTAGAGACGAGAGACCCTCCGCTGTCCTCTAGGTGACAGGTGGAAGCTTTTACTTTCGGGGATTCAACAATGAACTTTGGCTTTTCCATTTCCTTACAAGGGAGCAACAGTAATCACTCATCACTCTCATTTCGGCTGTTGACCTATCTACATGGTGGGTGCTGAGCGTCGGGCGACGCCATGAGCCGAACAAACTATACTTCGGCTTGTTTCCAAAACGAAACTGCCAACACGTTCTTAACCATCCACCATGTAGGTAGTTCAGCAGTTAATGTTGAAGTCCCTAAAGTAAAAGCTTCCACCGTTTACGAGTGGAAGGTCTCTTGTCTCTGGGCTCCCCCCCCCCCCCTCCCCCTGGATCCGCCTATGAAGTACCTATGCCAGAGACAAGAGACCCTCCATTAGTGTCGTGGCAATGGTGGAAGCTTTGACTCTCGAAACTCCAGCGTTCAACTGTTGACCTACCCACTAGGCGAATGGTCAACAACGTGTGGAGGATTTTGTTTTGCAAACAAACAGAAGTTTGGGAAACTTGTTTGGCCCATGACGTTAGCCGAAGCTCATCGCCTTTTCACAGGGTCGCCGTTGTTCAGGGTTTGAACCCCAAAACAAGGTGGCAATACAGCTAATGTATTGTCTCCGTTTCTGTGCAGAGAGAATTTAAAAAAAAAAAAAAAAAAAAAAAAAAAAAAAAAAAAAAATTATGCCACTTTAGTGAGGGCGAGGGTTCCCCCAGTGAACGATACGTTGAAAATAGTTGAAAAAAAAAAGACAGCTCCGAGAATCAATTTTTCAAATCAAAATGGACTGCTCGGCTTCAAGAGGAATCTGCTGACCGAGATGCTTCACAAATTCGTATAGTAAAGAAATCGAGTATTAGATGCGAAATGGGCTTCGGACGAATCGTTTCATACACTAAAAAATTCGCAGACTAGACCTACGAATTCCCCGCTGTTGCACGGTGGGTTGCGCGGCTCATCAATTGAAGGGGTTTTATGGTTCACACGCGGTAAACCGTAAAACTGGACCCTGCTCGACTGGTCCATAATAGTTGCGTCCAACTCCTGTTTGCTCTTCGCACTTGAAATATTATTTAATCTAATCACTTTCAGTCCCCTCCTCCCGCTATTAGAATCGATCTTGACCTTTAAACATCAAAATAATGCATGAAACATGTCAGAATACTTTCCGTATCTATGAAACAATATAGAATTTTAAGCAACGAATAGACAGTAGGTAAGAAAACACGGAAGTTCCGGTCGAAAGAGATCGACTGTCTGTTGTAATGAAGATGTTTCCTTAAAAGCTATCATAGGCCTAATTTTGAGGAGTAATTTAAAGATACTCACAGAAGGAGATTTATTTTTACGTACTCGACAAAAAGCTGAAAGCGCAAGTAGTAAAAAGAAAAGTAAAAGAGGCGGAAAATTAGAAAAGTAAAGAGGAGAGGAAGAGAAAAAGTAGCAAAGTGAAAACTTTCTCCTGCATTTCTTCAAAAGGGAGAGGGAGAATGAGTCACTCAATTTTTTTAAAATTAAGTACTAAAATAATTATTAATTATATTCAAAATTTAAATTTAATTTCTATATGTTTATATTTTTAAAACTACCTAGAGATTATCAATTCTATCTTCTTATAATCGTAATTTATTGATTTTACTTTAATACTTATCTTTTAAAGTTTTTTATTGTTTAAATTTATAATCTAATTTATATTAAAATAAGTAAAACAACGTTTAAATAAATTATTTTATTTAATAAATAGATATTTAAAACATGGTTTCATGTAAAATCTAAAAATTTAATTAGAATTCAATGGGATGGAAATGGTGGAATAATAGAAAATACAAGGGCGATATCTCGGTCACTCAGATTTTAAGGGGGACAACAGTTATTCTATGGTGGTAAAATTTGCTTTTAAAATTTTGAAGAATCTCATGACCTCAGGAGTACGTGCTGCCATGAATATCTCCAACCATGATTTTCGGTATTCAAAAAAATACTCAAGTCACATTGGGCTAGGCACATTGTGCTTAATTCATGCAGCAAGCGTTCTTTTCTACTAACTAAGGACTGTAACTAAGGACTGTATTTTGCATTTGAAAAGATTCAACTTTGGAAGGAGGTGCAACATTTTTGGTTCATGTCAAGCATAAAATTCTGGTGAAGACCATATAATTCGGTTCATTTGCAGATGGACATTGACTAGATCTCCTTGTTTGCCACCTGATTAAGAAGTGAAATTAAAATACTGAGTGGCATGAATTGAAACAAATCTTAACGGGGCGCAGGAATGAAGACATCGATTTTGTCCTCTAAAATTCATATTATAAAATTCTTGAGTTGTGCTCAGATTGTGAAGTTGTTTATCAAATGTGGAAAATCTCGGGTAAAATATGGTACACTTATCAAAATCTTTCATTGTTCACCAAATGTAAGGAAAAATTATAATAGTACAGCTAGAATTCACTTGAATTTATTCAGCATGTCTTATCAATGGTGTAAGTCCACAATCATATGTCTCGTTTGCGGTGTCTGAAAATCTCCACCTCTACGTTATTTTTTTAAAGGAGAAAAAATTGTCATCATTCCTTTAAGTTTTGGCAGAATTTTCTTCGCACAGAAATGAAAAATCACGGCAGTTGAAAAGAAATTCCGCCGAATAGTTTTCCGTTTAAAATATAAAGTATGACAGGAAGTCTGCGACGTCGCAAACCAAGTTAAGTGATTGCCGAATTATACCGTCGTTATGTTTGATAAAAATGAAACAAAATGAAAAGTATGGAGTACAACAATTCCAACTTTTTTTTTTTCTCTATTTTGAAAAAGTACCTCAGTTTGCATTATTCCCCATGGGGCATATTTTGTAATCACTGTTCATGACTCAGACACAAGAAACTCATGATGTAACTATCCTTAAAGAAAAGCGATCCGAACTCCAAAACACTCAATATTGATTTATGGACACCATTACTTGAAGTACCTAGTATTTTATACTGAGAAAAAAAGAGAGATTTTTCTTGAAACAGTTAGAATCAAGAATTCGAAAAGTTACACTAATTCTTAAGATTCAAATTAAAGAGTGCATTTTTGTCTATGATAAAAAATAACGGTAAAACTGAAGGACGGTACCTGACAAAAAAAGCAGCGGTGCGAAGTAGGTATTCCAAACACAAAGAAATAAAAAAATTAGATAAGAAGGATCAGCACTCTTACTGAGCAGTCTTAGCTTGACCTCTCACGGTGGGCAATATGATGTAACTGAGCTGGATGCTGCACTCAGTAAGTTTCAAGGTGTACATAACAAAACAACTTATTACATCATACTATAAAAATCAATCTCTAGCACTGTACCTTCATAAAAATCAATCACATTTGATAAAAGTAGAAATAGATGAACAGTTATCCTCATTTTGGCTTCGCAACTTGGATTGAAATGGAATGAGACTGAGAAAGAGGATGAAGCAAAATTACGAATTCTTAGGGCCAAACAAATAATCAAACACCAGCTTCTTGCGTCCTTCAAGTACCTACCTACTCAGCAAATATTTAAATTAATTGTAAGCGTGAGGAGTGGTTTGGGATGAACAAAGTCATACTTGGGCTGATAACATCTGCACCGAGTGTTAAGGTATGTATATACTGTAGATGCCAATCTCAACTTCTGCTTCTACTGAAATGAGGACTTTCCTGTCACGCCTTAGTTTGTAGACAGAACTTGGTATTGCGGCTTTAATTATTTCTGCTGGAGGTTCTATAATGAAGATATTTTATTCTATCTCTCCATGATTTAGCGAGGAGTTTTTGGCTAAAAACGTGAAGATAGGGGTGAGAAAGACCTATGCGCAATAGTCTGGGTGGAAGCACCCCTACAATATTATTCTCTCCATTTAGACTTGAAAACCATAAATAATAGTTAACTGACTAAAATTCCCACTGAAGAACTCAAAGACTATGGATATTTCCCAACAAAGATCTTGAAACCATGAGTCCTCAATGATGAAATAATCTTAGGAGAGCAATATGAATAAACGATTTAAATCTGTTACTGACCGTAATATCTCAAAAGATAATCAGTGACCATCAGGAGGAACAGGAAAATCATTTTTTGGAGCTTAAAAGAATCTATGTAAACAAAAAGTCGACACTATGGCCAGTATCATTATGATGAGCAAACCGCTAAACTTGTTTGCGCGTAGCAATAAGTTTCTCAATAATCTCTTCGCAAAATCGTATTGCGAGATGCGAATTGAAGATATCAAATGCTACGAGAAGGGTAGTGGCACAGTAACAAGAGAAAATTGTGAGACTTTCAGGTACTAAAATTGCATTGGGTGGGTCCAACAAATAAATGGGAAGAAAACGCATTCAGATATGTGCTTGATGTTTTTGAGAGTTCATACTGCAACAACAGACCACTATGTGAAACAAATGAGTGGTTGCAATACCCAAACAGTGGATAGGAGTCAATAGTTATTATTATTCGACTGTCTTAACAGCTTAAATCTGGATTAGCTGAGACAAACAAACATTGTGAAGAATGCAATTTTGCCAAAAATTGCATCATAACCTAAAAACGATCACACTGCAACATACTTGAGAATATTGGTTTCAATGACAAATTATTTCGCCTGAATGACTTTGGCTTGCGCAAAACGAAATGTTCACGTCGAAATGACAGTTGTGATCTCTCCAAACGTCAGGTTGGGGATTAAAGGATAAGTTTTGAATCAAGGTGCAAACGTATTGATAAGGAGACAATCAAAACAACACGGCCTAGAAGACTTCGAAACATGGGATAATTTAAAGTATCCGGCGAAAAATAAACTTGTTTTCAAGGGATTATAATTCTTACCTGATAGAAGAAATTAAGGAGGCAGAAATTGAAGTTTCGCGAACTCACACACAAGGGCAAAAAGGACGTTCACGCACCGTTTTGTTGAATGACTTTGGGGAAGGGAAGGTCACGTGATCTCGCCGTCGCAAAAATCAGCTGACTCCCCCCCTTCTGTAGCGGGACCCCTCCCGTCTGCTTCATCGGGTGTTACAGAATTTTTATCGCCTCCGCGGCGCGCGCGGCCCCATTTGCTTCGCGAATTTATTTTTTCAGTTTTTTTTTTTTTTTTTAAATCGCCGACCCGCAGAATCGGTCCCATGGCTGTAGCATCACTTATTTACTTTCCAAGACGGCCGCCTTCTGTCTGACACCTAAAATTAGACACAGATCCAAGAAAAAGCAACAACCCGACGGACCCTTGTTCCTCCTGGATCTGATTTACTTACTTCCCTACCTTCATTTTCCGACTGCTTGATTTCTCTTGCTGACTCTTCTTCTTTAGAGTGGAGAAACGAACTTCTAAATAATCTGTTTAGTTCTCTAAAATAATATTTTTAGCGTGATTCAGCGTCTTGAAAAAAATCTACCTGCCATCAAACCATCCCCAATTTCAAGATCACTGAGAGTTCTGTTTCCTCAAGATCTATTAAATGAAAAAAAGGCATTTTCAGCAACCGAAGCGATTTTCATCATGGGAGATATGATAATTTTCAGTTCATTGAACAGTAATGTTGAGAGAAGTATGTTTGGCATTGCTGATACACCTAGCTTTGGATTCTCTCATTATTTTCCCCAAATTATGAGTTGATACAGGGTGATCCAAAAGTCCCACACGATCCTTGTAAACCTTAGGTCTCTTGCCTCTTTCCAGGGAGGGGTCCTCAAAATTAGGGAGTCCCAAAAGTCGTTTTATTTGACCTGAGAGAATTCGCGAAATTTTAAGACTCCATCTTGATTTGTTCAAAAGTTGGAGAGGTGGTGCCTGATGCTGGATTTTGGGTCTCCCTGTATAACTGCAAAAAATGCGCATCTCTATTGTAGCATTTAAAAACTTCCAATTCTCTTTTACTCCTTTGAGAGGAAATTGATCACAATATCTCCTTGAATATTTTTAAATGAGAGAGAGTATTAAGACGAAGAAAAAGATCTGAAAAATGTAGTATGAGCAGGGATTTCCAACTGCCCAATCGTAATGCGCGTTCTTCCACTTAAACCAGTGATGGGTGTAGGAAAGTGAAGGATATTAACTAAATCACAGAGCACATGCATTCTCTTGAAATATTTGTACGTAATGTAGGAAACTGGAAACCCTGAGTGAAACTGGGGAATTGATTACTGATTTTGTTAATAGCATTAGTTTTAAATTTTCCCTAATTTTACACATTAACGCAGGAAAACAAAAAAACGTTGATGAGAAGTTTTTAGTAAGTTCCCTTAATAGAGTGAACAAATTACCAACATCTGGTTAAAACAATCTATACCATAAAATCAAATGCTGAAAATTTCCTGCCATACTTAGTTTTAATTTGGTGGTAAAATTAATTCTACGAAAACTACTGAGATTTTTATTTTCTCTATAAAGAGTGCCTAATAGAAATTTTGAGGAGTAAAGTTGGTCTCATAATTACACATGACAGGGAATCAAAAATGCTACATGAGTACCTAAGGCCTTGTCCACACGAACCTTGTTCGAGGAACTTAGTTTGGGGAACTTGTTCTCGAAACAAGTTTTAGCTGAGCTAAAACTTATTCCTCCCAAACCTCGGAACTTCACCCATACTCCGAACTTCTATGTTTCTTTTGCTGTGAATTCGTTTGTTTTTGTTTTTCACATCCTTTATGTCTTGGCATATTTTGTTACTCTCGCGGCCGTAGTAATCTATTATTTTGCAATAATTGTTTAGGGAACTAAGCAGTTTGTCCAATAAGTTCCTTGGACCGCACTTGTTTGGACAGGGCCTAATGCAGTATTAAAGTTTAGCCGCTTATAATTCAAAAAAGAGTTCAGACCTTTGAGTAAATTGTCAGTTTCAGCTAGAGGCAAGATTAATTTTTGCCAAATATAATTCATAAAATGAGGCAGAAGAATGAGGAAGTGAAAGCTATAAAAGGCAAGCTAAATTTCACTCAGATGACGTTTATTTTAAATTCTTGGAGGGCAATGAAAAGTCCACTGTTCAGATACAAGGCTTGAGGTTTCAGTCTGCACTTGATCTTTTATGATAATACACCTATTTAGAAATGCAAGTTTTACAAAAACATTGTTACAAATTACGAGAGCAAAACATTAAGAATTAAAGTAATATGTTCAAAACTTCAAAATTGTTTAATCTTCCAGCAAGATATTAGGCAATCCCAAGAATTGCAAGCAGTTTTTATTAATAATTACAATACGTAGCTACTGCGCAAAGAAAAAACCTACATTATAATTGCAGATCCTGAACAATACTTATTGTTTAAGACAAACAAAATGGTAGAAAATAGGGAGAAAAAAAATACTGATGGGCCACAGAAAACTGTTAATATGAACGGTCCAAAAAAGACCTCCGACAAGAACATTAAAAATTATGGGTACAGCTGATTCCTGCAAAACATTAAGAAAACGATGACCTATAGTTTACTTTTATTCACTTGATCAATGTTAATCCCAACCCTACAAAGTTTAATTTAAGATTCGAATTTCAAACAATCGGAGGTTTCATTTTCTGGGTGAAATTTTTAAGAGAAAATGTAACATATACCTAAATTTTATCCTAGAAACAGTCCTACGCTTTCATGGAAAGCGCTACTCATTGTTTTTCCGTAACATTTGAACTCAACGAAAATAAAAAACATGAAAAACACTCATAATAATTATATTAATACTAACATAAAAAATAAATTTGCCCATGGAAAAATAAGACTCAAAGAAAATATAAAACATGAAAACACTCATAATGATATTATTAATGCTAACATAAAAAATAAATTTGCTCCTAGAAAAATAGGAGCTTATTTCAGTCAGTCAGTTATTTTATACAAAACTTGAATAAAATATGAAACACGAGAAACACTCAGAATAATATTATTGATGCTGACATAAAGAACAAATTTTCTCGTAGAAAAATAATCGATTTTTCCAGTCAGTTATTTCATACTAATTTTACATCACAAATCCTAAAATATAGGGCTCCAAACAGAAATAATGAGGCTGCATCATGGAATACTAAAAAGAGGGTTTTTGAGACATCTTTGCAGTCTCTGCATCTCTGCCAGGTTGAACTATCTTTTTTTCCTTAATTCTTACGAATCTGTGCAAGATGCTGATAATGAACATGAAATCATTTTTAGAATAAAAAACATAATAAGCAAATACAAATTAAGGTGGTTTATGGAGAATCAAAAGCATGAAATGAGGTTCTGCTAAAAATTAAGGTTAAATTAAGGCACTTTTAATTTGGAGGAGTAATAAAGCTAAATGGCACAAACTTAATGTATCAGAAATCGACAAAAAACTGGCTTTATGAATCATTACAGAGTCCTTGGACGCCTCTGGTATTAATAATCATGACACAGTGACATTCTCTGAGATTTACTTACCATGCAATTACTTAGAACCCTTTTAATTGTTTGAAGGAAAAAAATCTTTACAAACTTCATTCCAGACATTCTGAAGAACTCTGTAAACTAGTCAAACTCTATTAAAACTGCCCCTCAATATCATTATGTATCTAATTTGATCCATGAACAATGCAACAATGTTAAAACATTAATTAAACGGTAACTCTACGCGGAAATGGTCTGAAGAAAACATTTTAACACTAGGTCTCAGTTTGACCTGAAAGTTCAACTCTTGGAAACGCTTAACCAACCTTGAGTCACCTTGGATGTACAGCTAAGAGGCTTTGTAAAAAAATACACACAAAGGAACTTAAAAACCTAAACCTGAAAATTGAATAATGAAATTATTTCTGCTTGTTGCTTGGTAAAATCACTCCAGCATGGCAGTATCCGATTACTGTGGGTAACCTGGGGTAAACAGATAAAAAACTAATAAATTATTTGACAAAACTTCATATTAGGTAAGCAAGTTGCAGTATCAAAACCTAAGTATAATAATGGGCCTGTTGCAAACTTTTGCAACAGAAAAAATAAACAGTTGTCTTTATCAGTAAATGTCTCAAAAATTAGGATGAGGGCATTGGCAAAGTTTGAAATGCCCTCCTAACTTCACAATCTGCATAAAAAATGTGCGTATTTGTGAGCTTCCCGCTTCAAAAACAATACCATGGCACAGGTGAACATTTCGTTAGAGGAGACGTTTCATTCAACCCTTTCACAACAGCAATACCCAACATTGCCTACGCTTCCGCGCGCAAATTGCAATCGGGTGCACAAGGTCAACTGCAGCAGATCTTCATCAACACGAAGAAATTGTCAATGTAAACACACTGGGTTGTTAACAAATGGTTAGAATCTCATCCAAGCACATGTGTTTTGGTGGATTGGGGTCGGCCATGTTGAATATTGCGTGGTATCCTTGTGAGCAGGGGTTGGGTGGAATGACTCCTCTAACGAAATCTTCACTTGTGCTGTGGTATCGTTTTTGAAGCAGGAGGCTAAAAAAAACGCTAATTTTTTACGCAGATTGTGAAGTTAGGAATGCACTGCAAACTTTGCCAAAACGCTCATCAAGATTTTTGAGACATTTACTGATAGAAACAACAGTTATTTTTGCTCTGGCAAAAGTTTGCAACAGGCTCATTAATTTCAAATGGCATGATTCCACAGAACACTGAAACACCATTTTGAATTTTTCCTCCTTTTATTCATGGAGTTAATTGCTAAAGAAGTGTGCACACTTTCAGAATTTATAAACTAAAAGAGAAACTCTAAATTATATTAGTGGATACAAGAGAGAAAAGTTAAGGAATAACGAATTGATCAACTTAAAAGTCAATAAAAATAACCAAAAACAAAACAAAAATAGTTTCTTTCGTTATTTTTAAATAAATGAAAAACTTGAACAACCATTCGGCAGTTTGAGTCCGTCCCTCAATCTTTTACATTATGCACAATGAAAACTTCAGATTTTCCAAGGACAGAGCACTACATTCAAGTAAAATGTGTAAAAGCGAAAATCAAGCTGGATGATCGGTTTTATAATGACTTTTGTGATTACACAGTTTGTTTCGAAATTAATGATTAATATTTTCCCAACGTGGCCACCAGTTTACAGGAACATCATTGGCCCACAGCCATTTTCTAATGGTGCAGGCTCAGACATTAGACATGAAAAACAATGATCAAGTATTAAAAAAAAAAAAAAAAAAAAAAAAAAAAAAAAAAAAAAAACAAGGAAAAATGAAACTCCGTAAAGCTAGGCGGTAAAACTGAGTTACTGTACCTCATTTATGAGCTGTTTGGCTATCTAAAAAATTAATTTTTTTTTAATATTGGATCATGTTTAGGTGATAAATAATCACACTTATGCAAGATGAAAAACCTTTAAAATGAACATCCATTTGATAAATTTTCAAATTATTCTTCAAAAATAATCACACAGTTTGATGTTTAGTGATAAAAAAAATAGAAAGATTGAAAAACGACGAGAGTCTAGATGGAGGTGCTGGTAACTTTTAAGGTACTGGTCATCATGATAAGAATGGTAACACTTATACTTATTTGAGATCCCGACTGTAAAAGATAAAGATGATTTATACAATGGCCACTTCAGGCGTTTTTAATGTGAATCTTCAGGTAAAAGTTTGAATGAACAGATTTGTATAAGTATTTGACAAGTCTCTTATCTTTTACAGTCAACTGCGCGTCTTTACCTGTGATTTCATATTTTTATACTTGACGCAAAAATCTTAGGTTAAAACTTTCACCCAAATATGGGCATTAAAAAAGCCTCAAATGGCCATCATCATATAAATCATCTCATCTTTTATGTTCCGTATCTTAAATAAAAATAATTGTTACTGCGCTCATTATGAGAATCTAATTTCATCAAGGCATACCTAAAATCATTAAAATTTAAATTCCATCTCAGGAAAAATATTTTACCTCAATTTTTCCGGATCATGATTTTTTCTCCTTGACCTCCTATGTTAAGCTGCACATAATGAAGTTTTAGTTTATCTGCAATACTTTTGACAGCCTCCCGTTCATCCACTGTCATCCCTGGGCTTAGATTGAGATTCCCCACTGTGTCAGACAGCTTGAACTTTTCAAGTTGCTCTGTCATACTCTCCACGAAAGAATCAGTCAGTGACAACCCCTGAAAACAAAAGAAACAACCAGAAATTTTTAATAAAAAAAAAGTACCAAACTTTACGTAATTCTCATGATTAAAATTGTAGAGGCTTGCTATCAGACTGGAACAGCAACACCCATTACCGTCAAATTCTAAGCATTCAAAATTTTAAAGTTTAAGATAAATTGGACAGGCACACACATTTTTTCACGCTGAGTCTTTTTAGTTTGAAGGAACTTCAAATTGCTTCAAGATTAAGACATTTTGATTCTTCACCATTCTTTTTTACAGAATGATAATATTTTATTCAACCAGAAAGTGGGGTGAAGAAGTTAAAAGACGTTATCTAAGGAATATGCAAGTACTTTTCACATTTTGGTCTCCTAAAAAATCGACCTTTCATCATTTCCCAACATTTTGACCATTTTTTGAGGTTAATGCTTAAAATTTTGGCTTTTTCTAAGTGCATAGGCTGTCCCAAAAAGAATTCAACAATGGCGATTTAAAAAAACTAAAAGAGATAGCAACACACGGTTTAAACAGACCTCTGGAAGTAATTACCTATCGAATGAGATCTTGTTGAGCTCATTTATTAGAAAACTCGCTGATTTACAGCGTTTTGAAAGTGACGTGTTGGCAAACCTGCCTGCACAATTTTTAGGATGTTTTCTCAAGAAAAACAAACGAGTTGCAAATCATTTTGTAAAATGATTAAATGACATGGGCAAGTGAAGCTGGCAACACTGCAACTAGTGGACACGCGTTGCCATGGAAACGACTAAAATTCTGTCGCAGTTGCCTACAGTCGTGAAAACAGGTGTCATTCACACTTCCTAATCTTCTGCCATTTTTGCCGAACGCTCATACAGCGGTTTTTCTTGAGCAGTTATGCTCCTCTGAAAAATTGCCTCCTAGGGCCGAAATTTGTTCAAAGACTTGTTTTTCGACAAAATCTTGAGAACTACAAAACTGACCTTTTCCTCCTTCGGTTTCTCTGACTTGAAGAACTTCTGGGCAGCAACTTTAGTTGCATTGGTGTACTTTTTTATTTTCTCTTCAAGAGAGAGCAGCTCTTTGGTGATCTCTTTATTCGCTGGCTCCTTCTGCTTCACTTCCTTTAGCAGCTTCGCAGCTGCATCATACTCATTCAATGCATTAAGTGCTTTTCCCCACGCGAACTTCAGCTTGATATTCTTTTCTGCCAATTGTGGGATGACGTGCATGGCGTCCTCTGCTAATTTGCAGGTTGTTTTGAAATCTCTGTTCAAGTTATAGCAGATAGCAAGGTTTTGATAGGCACGGTTGAGTTGCTTCGCCAGTGTGCTTTCATGATCATTATTTAGGTTGAAATCCAGAATCAGGTTTCTGGCCTCTTTGTAACTGTAAAAAAATTAAAGTGTATTAGTTATTGTCAAATTTTGGAATTTAGTCAATATACACTATAATCGAGGCCTTTGTTCAAAACTTTGATTTTTGAAAGACTGTAGAGAATGTTACACGGAGTGTTCTACAGCAGTGGTCTATATGGTCATCAGACCCCAAGAGGTCTGCGAGATGAAGAAGAGAACTTTGAGGAAAAAGAAAAGAGGGAGCTTAAGTTGAAAAGAAAAAAAGAAAGAACGAATTTTTGAAACCCCGTAAAAATGTTCCTAGATGGTCTGAATCGGTTGCTTCTTACTGGATGTCATCCTTTTGCAATACATTCATTTACCAATAGATCAAAGAAACATTTTGACTGTCAAATGTTTATGACAAGTATGTTCCCATGTTTTAAACTTTGACAAATACAATGGGTTTCACTGAATGAAAATGCAAAAAAACCAGATGGGTCTGATGTAGACACTTGTTGGAACAAAATTAATTGTTTCTTAACTAAAATGTGACTTACTGTTTTATGGCCAACTCCGTATCGTTGTCCTGGGTTTTACGCTCATTTCCTTTCTTCAGATGAGCCTCTACCCGTTCAACTACATCCGGAAAAGTCAATTTCTGATCCGGTTCGCTTGTCAGAACATCTGGATTCTCTGAATAACTAACTAGGGTTACTTCAAAGAGAATTGTGGCTTCTGAAAAGAAAATATAAATGCATGGTAAAAAACAACTTAAACCGGGAAAAAGGCTGCAAAACAAAAAAATATGATATGATATGACTATGATAATGGTGCTAGAAATTATCAAATCAGTATGAAAATTTTTTGAAGAACAACAAATCACCAAGACCTTTAAAAATTTTTTAGACTTCTTTTAATAAATTTTTTTAATAAATTCTTTTAATAAAATTTAAACGAAAATTCTTTACTGTGTAAATAGGAAACCATGAAAAATGTGAAAAAATATTATATGAGGGAAGTATCNGGGGGGGGGGGGGGGGGGGAGCGCACAGGCCTGCATCCTTAACAAAATTATTAAATGATCATGATGCGTATCAAAGAAATGAGGATTTTTTGGGTTGAGGCTGTTGGGATGAAAATCTGAGCCTTTGTTTCCCTGAAAAAAATATCTTACATTTTCCTGCGTATATGATAGGTAATTAGCATTTCTTTCAATATTTTCACCACACCTGCTGACATTTTTTTTTAAAAACTGGCATCTAACACAGATTTTTTAAAAGCAAAGAGCAGTGCTAGACTCACTTATTCTCTATCCAGATAGGGCTGCAACGCAACGCTTAGTGCATGATGTAATTTACAACCCAACCCACAGAGTAAAATTATACAATTCAAAACGAAGAAACCAACCTTTAGGAATGCGGTTCCCACAGCCAAGCTTGCCATAAGCGTAGTCATGATGAACAAGAAACCAGGAGACCTCTCCCGTTTTCATCGTCCCAACACCAATGTCCAAGCCACGGAGTAAAGGACCACCTAACTTAAAAGACAATGGTTTCTTTGATCTCAGGATGGAGACATCGAACGGTACTTCTTGGTATTCTGTATATGCTTGGTAATGAATTTTGATGTGTGAATTTGGAGGGACCACCTCCCCAGAGCCTTCTTTGATGATCTAGATAAAGAGACGAATCAAAGTAATGAGAATATTTCCAGGTAATAGAATGAATTCTCAAGAATATTCCTAGTGAGATGACCCAAAGTGATGATACAGTATATGATATCGGATATATGGGGACTGAAAATGTAATGAGTAAATGAGGACTTATACGTAACAATGGCGGATGTCGAGTTTTCACATTGTGAGAAAATCGTGTTTGAAGTTTTCGAAGCTGCACTTTTTCGCCGGTAGAGCAGAGAGGATTTTTATGAAAATTTTCATGAAGAGCAACTCTTCATGTAAAAAACACGTGTTTTACGATTTATGTGAGTGAAAAATTAAAGGAGTAACAGTGATTTGAAAAAAACGTGACATCCGCTATTTTTACTGAAAACATTTGTGTGCATAAAACAAAGTCTTCAAGAGGGATGAGGCTGGTGAAACGATTGAAATGTACCAAAAGTAAGTCAATGCTGAGTCATTTAATGAAATTGAACAAAAAACTAAACCGTTTATAACTTCTACAACAAAAATAAGGAAAAAATTATAAAATCAGTTAAAAAATCAACAATTCTGGGGAGACGGTCCTGGTATGTATAATTTGAGTGTCAGCTGCAGCCCACGGCTGGTGCGCGGGCAGTTGGTGCGAGTGCGTTCGAATCTTCACGGTGTCCTGCCACGCCGACCAGGGAGAACAGTGGATTCTTATAACTGCTGTTTTTACAAATAACATGGTTTTCAGTTCATATCTTGCCGAAAAATGGCGTTGGAAGTCTGAAACTTTGCACAGGCATTTTTGAGGGCTCCAGAATTAGAAAAAAGCGTTTTCCTCAAAAATTGCAGAAGTCAGCAACCGCTATTGTTACATATAAGTCCTCAAATGTATGAGTAACAGAATTGATTTTGCTTGAATAAAAGCTCAAGCCACATTACACCACACAGATTAGCGCTTGCAATGACAAAATGAATGTACCTATGCAATATAATTATATTCCGACATTCAAAAAAAATTTGTTGTCAATCACATGTAATGGCAATGATAGAGTTTTTTTTGTGTTAAATTAAACCGGTACCTAAGTATTATTAGACTCACCCTTTTCATAACTCCCCCATCTTTTGTGACTGCTGTCATCCGTTTCCTGATCTTTTCAAATGGAGAGAGGTTTTCATCTTCTTTGTCATCACTACCTCCAGTTAAAACATCAAAATTTACATGATTAATAAGTTTCTGCTTAAAGACAGCTTCAGGGTCAAATTTTGCGTTAAAATCGCTCTCTTGGCTCATTGGATCAATGTCGAGACATAGCTGCGTCCGGCCATCTTTAAGTAAAGCTCTGAAAAAATAATGAAATTAAGTAATGGTAAATGGCAAGTAACATTATCGTCAAGTTTTCTTAGTATTAAAAGAGTGGCTGCAGTTATATATGTAACATCCAAAAGAGAGAGCAAAGGTAAAACAAACATTAATGCCATCAATTGGGCTGTTGCAAAGTTGAGAAAATGAAGATGCCTGTATTTTTTCCTTTGTGCCTAATAGTTACCATTACAAGTTTTTGCGGCGAGAATGCCTTGAAAACTTGCCAAAAACCTAATCCTCTTTCCAACAGAAGAATTGTAACAGGAAGAGTTGACTGCCCTGTATCTTTCCATATACATTTGTTCACAGCATTTCGTTTGTTCATGTACTCTGACGTGGGAGGCAACTTAGGTATTTTACCATGCTCATAATATTATTGCAATTTTACTTAAATATTGAAAGATGTATTTTCTTTGGAATGATTTCGTTTCTTCATGATTTGCATTGATACAGTGGCCATGTTGCATTGGATTCAAAATGGTTGAAACCCTGTATCATTGCTTCAAATGATGTTGTGAGCTTCAGGCCGATAAGAAACTCTCTTTCCACAACTTCAACTTTGCATTTCTTTACTTCAGTTGAGACAGTAGTTTTGAGCTTACAGAAGCTTGGAAATATGTTTCTTGCTAAAATTTACTGAAGAAACATCTACTTCCATGTCAATTCATAGATCTGGCAACTAATTCCATTGGTAATCTGTTAGCGAGCACTAAGTCTTACATTTGGTCCTGACATGTGGCCTATTATAAGAAACATGATCAACGCAGGATACTTCAGTAAATCCAAATAGAGTGATAAAAGCTTTAAACTAAGGAAAATTCACTGAAACAGAGAATAGGTGGTATTGGTAACAGATGATGACTTGTATCTTAGTTGAATCACCAGTTTCATATGCAATCGCCCTATGATGATTTGAGTTGCTTGACTGAAAATCCATTACCGATATGAAAAATAAGAGGTGATAAAAATACTAAGTAGATGACATATAGACCTAAAAGTTGGAAACTTACGACAAATCAAGAGGTCTGTTCAGGCGTGTTGGAGAGCCTGGTCGTAGATTCATGTCTTCATCCATATTGGAAGATCCAGTAGAAACAGCTATGTTCACCATTATTCAGCTATGAAGATGAGAACTTGAAATTGAAAAGAAGTTTAAGAACAATCTAAAGTGACAATTAGCGCTAACAAACTACTTTACCCACTACACTGCTGCACCGAAGACACTGGAGCACTGGAGGTAAACACAGTAATCGGTATTGGAAAAATGAGGTTAGGTAGAGGGTGCCAAATCTGACTATTTTTCTGAATACTTACGAACCATGAAACTGACAACACTGTAGTTCAACATGTGGATTTTCCTGGGCGCAAAATTCAAAATTTGATGTCCCGTATCCATAGGAGGTGTAATCAATGAGGATATATATTTGATTTAGATTTAGCTGCAGAATTCCTCATGAATTCTAATTGAGAGGCTTGGGAGACAAGTGAGATAAGTGCAGTTTTTGAAAAATTGAGATACCTATTAATGACTTCAACTTAAACTAGTCCTGTGGTTTCTTCTGTAAAAATTCTCCAGGTACATACTTAAATCCGATCATGTACTGAGCATTAAAAAGTGAGTTTGAACTTTCTTTCCGCCAAAAAGCTCCATGTAATTTTGAAACTTTAACATGTGTTTCTCAAAAAGTAAAAATCGCACTAATCCGATTACTCCTCCAAGTCCCTCGATTCATGTATCTATTTCTTTGTCAGTGCAAAACTCATATACTTAAATAGGCATTTTATCAATTTAATAATTTTTCACTCATGTGTAAAGTTGGCATACATAGGTGCAATTTAAAATTCTCTGCTATGAATAATGTAAAAAGTTTTTTTTTAGTTGGACTACATTATTCTCAAACATGGTACATATTCAAGAAATGACATTGGCTGTTGAACATGTTTCAAAAGGTTCATGTTTATATTGAAAGTTTCAACGAATTTTCATCCAAGCACGGTATCAAGTTTGAAAAGAAATTTGCAATCATTCTTGTGGAAATGATTAAAATGGTGGGCAAAACTTGAAAACATTCTGATGCAAGCCCCTTTGATTCTGAACTTTTCGATTGAGGACATGCGGGTAGGATGAGCATCGATGAGTAAGATAAAAAAATGTGTACCTCAAATATGCAACATGGTAGGTCTCCCCTCATGTTTTTTTTTTCTTCTTCCTTTATAAAAGGTAAAATAACCCTTAGTTTCTATTGAAATTATCAGTGAATTTCCTTCAGTCACTTTGGATTAATCTCACAGGATTGCAGGAAAATATTTTAATTAGAGGGAAATGAAACATGATTAGAGATTTTTTGATGATGCATTGAGATACCATCTCATTTATTTGGACATCGTGTGCAGCAGTATTGGTGCATTGCAGCGCAATACCTTAAACTAATCAACCTTAGGAGTTCAACGAGTATACCTACTTACTTATGATGAAAGAAAATAATTTGAAAATAATTGCTTATATTCAAAATCTATAATCGTAAGAGGAAGAAAACAATACAGTTTTGAGTCAGAAAAATATGATGTATTCAAAGTTTGATATAAAAGTCATCCAGAAATTCGAATGCTTATAATAAAACAAAAAACTTGTATTTAGAAAAAAAGAGGAAGTATAAACTGGGTAAAGGGTACCACCAAGGTTATACAGTGGTGTTAAAAAGATAAGCAATAAATGTTGTTAATGTATTCCTGAGGCGTTCTTGCAACAAACATGGATTCAAAATAACCGATTATAAGTTACAGCTCAGTTAAATGACCGATAGTAATGTAGGAAGACAAAAAAAAAACGTAAGATAAATAAACCAGTGGATGAGATTTTCTTATGAAGTATGAGCCTGCTGACTCTTACAATACACTTTGGATAAATGCTTGAGGCAAGTATACTTAAAATCATTTTAAAAGAGAACAAAATATATACTTAAAATCATTTTAAAAGAGAACAAAATATTGTTAAAAAAAAAAAAAAAAAATTTGTTAGAGATAACTATGTTAATACCTGAATAAAATGAAACATCAACATGGAAATAGGTGATTAATGCACTTCGGCATGTTAATGCAATGAGGTAAAATATGGCCTTTTTCTGATGAAACTAAAATTTAGTAGAAAAGTATCACTGCTTATTAAGTCACTTCAAAGCCATTCAGAATTACATTGTCCATGCTCAAATTATGGGCTTCTTGTAGGTGGATTTGAAGCTGAGGTAGACTCTGCAGATAAGAATTACAAAAAGAACAAACATACAATATACTGTCATCAGATACTAAGATGTTCAGCTCCGAACAATCCACTTCTTGACTTATTTCTACTGGCATGTCTCTTTCTGCTTGGAGACCATCAAAAATTGGGATAAAATTCACTGCAGCTTGGCTTTTTGTAATGCCTACAGTTGAAATGAATTCGTCAATGGGTACATTTTTTCCTGCAATCTCTGTGAATCTTACTCTCTCCAAAACGGCCGTAAGCTTCTTCCCTTTGTGCCTCTTTGAGGCAGCATCCTTTCCTTTGCAGTCATGATGCATGAGAATGTGAACAGACTTATCCCAGTAACCGCAATCTTGACAGTACCATTTCCTTTTACATCGTATGAAGTACTTCCTGGCGTGAGATACAAGATCCTTGTAGGTCTCAAATGATTTGTCACAAGCACGACAAGCATAATTCTTCACTAGATCAAGACATTTTTTTCTATGAGAGCAATGAGTGTGGATTTTCAGGTCTTTCTGACACTTGAATAGCTTTCCACACCGATAACAGACTACTTTTTTACGATTATTTTTCAATGCCTCAGGATTGCATTTTCTCTGATGCGAAGCCACAGACTTAACGTTCAAAAACCCACGGCTACAGTGATTACAGCGAACTGGAAACAAATCCTCATGTTTCATCTGATAATGAAAGAGACGACTAGAGTGGCGCTTGTAGACTTGCTTGCATAGGTGGCATGAGGTAAACTTGGTCGATAACGCCAGTTCCAAACTGCAAGTTTCCGTATTGTTTGAGGTATGTTTGACAGAACTAGACTTGTTCTGAGGCACTTGTTCTTGATTGTTAGTTGCTTTGATCCCTGAGGAACTTTTTTCGTCTTGAAACTGTTTGTCTCTTTCATGCTTCTTTTTTTTGTGTATTTTCAGTTGCTGAAAATATCTGAAGACTTTGGAGCATCTGTCACATTTCCAAGTTCCAGGGGCATGAGCCTGGTTCCGGTGTTCAATGACTGACTGTCTATCGGTGAATGCCTGTTTACAGCGCTTGCATGGGATCAGGCACTGCAAGTTTTGCTCACTCGGAGGATGAAATGTGTTGTGCCATTGATTGCAAAAGTGCTCATGATCTGCCCACTCAGTGTGATCGTTGAACTCAGAGTAGCAGATCTTGCACTGGAAGAGGAGGATACTATGTTGGTAGACTTCATGAAGGTCATGCAACTTTTTTGAGGTGAATTTCTTCTTGCACTCTTTTATGGAGCAATTGATTTGGCCTGAGTTCGATCCACTAGTGATTTCAATCTAGAAAATAGAAAATGGAAAGGTTCTAGTTTAGAGATGAAACTTGATTGAACACATTTGTGGTACAAACAATAGTTTACTGAATTCAACACAAGTTGGCCAAGTCATCAACACTTGCCTAAAACATTTGTAGTTTAGGGGTGGGTGGGCGGGTCTTCATAATTGTGTGACCGAGCAAGACAAGGGGTAGGCAAAGTCAAGTTAAGCATTAAGTAATATTATGTACATACTGAATTTTAATTTTTTTTTTCATTTGATGCTTGTATTTTATTTTTCCTTTTTATTTTCTTCTTCCTTCAAATTGTATTATAATTGTACAATCATTGATTGTTCTCAGTATTCATTTTCAAACTTGTATTTTTCATAACAAGTATTTTTGACAGTTATTTCTTTTAGTACATAAAATATATAACTTTAATGGATATTAGTTAATTTAATCCTTTGAATATTTTTTCATTTCTCCAATCATATTTGAATTGACTTTACTTGCCTTGCTAATCTACAGAGACCCTGCAAATGTAAGCTTCTTTTGAGTTTTGTTTGTTTTTTTTTTGTGAAAAAGGAGGGGACATTATTACGGCAAGTGATAGAGGTAGGAAAGTATTTTCTACAAAGTCTTAAAAAAAAATTGCATAAAAGAGAAAATCTACGGACATAACGAGGAATAAGTGTACATACACTCTCTCGAAAATTGTTAAATTACCTAATTTAAAAAAAGAAAAGAAAACGAGAAAAAGAGGAAGGGAGGGAGGGGGAAAATTCGGATAAAATTGAAGAAGAAGTCGGGAAGATATTAGATACTGGAGGAGTTCATGAGATTAGATGCTAGAGCTTTCTGCTTTTCTGAAGTACAACAAAGTAGATTTTAGTTGCCTCTCTGATTTCGGAATCCTGAATGCTCTTTGAATTTTACATGCCTAATTGACCTTTGAGACGGATCAGGAGCCTATTAATGGGCCTATTTCAAACTTTCGCTAGAGCATAAATAAGAGTTGTTCCTTACAGATAATGTCTCAAAAATCATGATGAACGCATCGGCAAACTCTGAAATGCACTCCTAACTTCACTACTTGCGTAAGAAATTTGCGTTTTTTAAAGATTCCTGCTTCAAAGAGGATACTACAGAACAGGTGAACATTTCGTTAGAGGAGTCATTCCATTCAATCCCTGCTCAACATGGCCGCACCGCTTCCGCACGCAAGTTGAGAAGAGCACGAGGTCAATCAAGGCGGATATCTAACAACGCAAGAAAAATGTGAATGTAAACATGCCGATTGTTATCAGGTGGTTAGAATCATCCTCCCGTCACATGTGTTTTGGCGGACTGGCGTCGGCTAAGTTGAATATTACGTGGTATTCTTGTGAGCAGGGGTTGGGTGGAATGACTCCTCTAACGAAATGTTCACCTGTTCTGTAGTATCCTCTTTGAAGCAGGAATCTTTAAAAAACGCAAATTTCTTACGCAAGTAGTGAAGTTAGGAGTGCATTTCAGACTTTGTCGATGCGCTCATCATGATTTTTGAGACACTTTCTATGAGTAACAACTCTTATTTTTGCTCTAGCAAAAGTTTATTACAGGCCAATTATTAATTTGAGCATAAAAAAGACTTAAAAACTAAAATTCTTACGTTTCAAAAGAGGCCTTACCATTTGGATTGGATTATGAGCCCGACAATGGTTCAAGAGATGTGAAAAAGTGAGACCAGTGCTTTTTCCACACAACGGACACTCTAAAGGTTTCTTTCTTTTTCTCTTTGATGAGCCTATGTGATTTGCAATTACTGCATTATTATCCAAAGAGCCCTCTCCACTACTTTTGGTTCTCTCCTGAAGGAAAAAATTCCGAAAACTTGTTTCAAAATTGAGTGCTTTCTGCTTTTCATACTGGCTGTCACTGTAAGAGGAAAAAACCGATAATACATTCATTAATTAACTAAGAAAAAAAGTGAAGTGAATGGATGTAGTGTTTGCATGCCAATAGATAATTGTATGTACTTGTATGTGGCATGGTGCTCCTTTTTCATTGCTTTTCAGTTTCCTACAAAAATTGTGTTGTTCTTCGGAGGGAGGAAACGAAGTTTCTCTAGATTTTTTTTTCTTCTCTAGGAGGTCAGAGAAAAGCTGAACATGTAAAAAAGCTGACTTCACTGTAAAATCTAAAATGTGACCAGATCTGTGAAAAGGGGTATCTTCTGGGAGAGAGTTTTCTTTAAATTTTTCTGGATGCAAGAATGTGCCGAGGTCTGTTAGATTAGAAACCGGATTTTAGTGATAACTAGCCATGTAAGCGTCCGAATTAGGTTTCCTTGGACTTTCCTGACAGCTGATAACATACTAAAGAACGCTAGATTCACAGATTTTTTTTATTTTGATCAGTGTTTAATCTGTGTCATCTGGAATACGAGTAAGTCAGGAGCGTTTTGCGATTTTCATCATGCGATCACTGATAGAGCAAAGATTCAACAGTAAATTTTGTTTTAAACTTGGCATACCTTGTACCGAAACTTTTGGTATGCTAAGTAAAGTTTACAAAGATCATTGGATGAGTTATCCTCACTGTTTTGAGTGGGTTAAAAGATTTAAAACTGGTCTGGAGTTCGTCGAAGATGAGGAGCATGGAAATCGACTATCAACGCGGCAACTGACATTTGTCATGTGGAAGAGGTGCGGGCAAAAGTGCTCGAAAATGGTCGTTTCGAGCTTGCTGAACAGTGTAATATTTCTGAAGGCTCTATACATACAATTTTGATAGAATAAGTAGACATGCATCGAGTTTCAGGTACAGCAGGTACACTTGCCCCTTGATTGTTATCCGTTGAACAAAAATCCAACCAAATGTCAAGTTCCCTGTAGCTGCTTGAACGTTCTAACAACGATCCTACATTTTTGGATAGGATAATTTTCAGTGACAATACTTGAGTGTACGGCTACGATATGAAGACGAAACTCTAATCATCCTTGTGGGTTGAAAAAAGTAGTGCAAGACCGAAAAAAGAGAGACAAGTTCGGTCAAACATAAAAATCGCAGAACACCCATGAGGTTGCCTTACTTCAAGCCACATACCAACGAAGCTAATTAGGATTTTTCAAATTTGTGAAGGTAGCGTTCTTAAGTATATTTCCAGCTACCAGGAAAGCTCGAGAAAACCTAATTCAGACGCATTGTGGGCTAGTTATGACCAAAATCCGGTTTCTAATCTAACAGACCTCGTATACCTGTGTTTCAACACTTGAACAATATGTTAAGCCAGTCACTTGCTTCACTCCTCAGCCACCACTTCTTGTGCTGTTGATTATAACTAGGGTCTCTCTCACTTGCAACAGCACTATTCTTCTCCGAGCCAATTACTGACTGGAAAATGTTATTGATTTAAGAAATTTCCTCATCAATAGTAAATATAATTGCCAAAAACTGAGGAATTTGCTTTACAATTACACTGTGTTTTGATGGGTACTGACCTATTTAATTCTTCTACATTACATTTAGCAGTGTGGGTCACAAATGTTTTGATACAGCTAAGCTGTAAACCACAACTTGCACAGAGGTAAGGAAACATATTTGAATGCATAACAGAACTGTGAGAATAGACATCCAAGGCTCGGTCAAATGTTTTGCAGCATGTATCACATGAGTAGAACACTGTTGGGGGCTGTTTCCTTTTAGTGCAGGATTTGCAAAGACAATCACTGATCAGGTGCTCTGAAGCATGGATGGCGAGCTTTTCGTTTGTGCTGAAAGTCTTGTAGCAATTGGTGCAACAGTGAATTTCCTTTTTATGGATTGTCTGGTAATGCTGAGTCAGTGAGGTAGCAAAAACGAACGTTTGTGAGCAGAACCTGTGAACATAAAAAAGTGAATTTTTTCAGTGTGAAAAAGTAATATTAAAAGTATTACTAAAAGAGAGAATAAAAGTATTTGTAAATTGTAATTTGTTACTAGCAGAGTCTCCATAATTTTTTCATTATATATTCCTCCGACTTTGCCTGACCTCCGATCAGAACCTTCACTCAGACTTTTTTCTTTTGATTACCCTAACTTTAGATAAACTATGGATGAGATCTCCACTTCTGGGGACTCAAATTAAGGAAAAAAGCATTCCAGAGTTATTTCTGCCATCCTGAATGGTACTGGCTGAAGTTGCCGAGCTAACTTGCTACTTGCAAAATTCTCTGCTTATTCCTATTGGTTCCCTGATTTTTCCAGGACGCCGTAAAGTACCTGACTTTCCAAGTTTTTGGACTACCATGAGCCTTGAACCAGGGCTTTCCTCTCAACGCAAAATTTTAAGTCTTAATTGATACAGATGAAATTGCATGAGGCTTTGGCAAACTAGGCTTACATTGTCATGATATTGACAGACTGGTGCAGTTCTGTTCCATGATGACCCTGATGATAGATTGACTGATCTTATTTTTTCCATCTTTGGTACACTCTCACCTATTAGTGATAACCGTTAAAAATGAAAAAGTTCCTGAAAAGTTGCCATGAAACAAATGCACACAGTGTAAACCAATGGATAATTTTTCCAAATAAGGAATTGCAGGAACAGAGGTAAGCCAAGAAAAGATTCAAAGGCTCCTAGATACTACCTCCTCCCCTTCATCAATGCCATCATTAAGCAACATCGTCAGTTGCATAGCTCATAGCATTTCATCTTCATATGTTTGCTCTTTATTTTCTATTGCACTGTCTAGATTAACCACTGTAGTTCGTACTTGTGTAAAATTTTGTCGACTTTTAAAAGCATAATGTTAGCCAAAGATTTTTATAAACAATGTGACGGCGATTGTAATAATTGTGTATGATAAAATCGAATTTTGAAATGTTGTAATGACTTGTACAATCCCCAAAGGGGAGAAATGAACCAACTGCAAAATAAAAAAAATGAATATTTCCGTTCTATTCTCGAGCTAACCTAGTGACTACAGGATTATATTCTATCAACCAGCATTTTTTGCGAGACTTTTGGAGTTTTCATAATATGTATCCTCTTGCGCACCATTTTAATTTCTACATTACTTCTCATGATTGGGACTATTTACCTAAGTTTTATCATGTTATGGTAAAAGCGCATTCTACAGGATAGTTAGGTAAAGCATTTAAAGAGGTGGTCCTAAGACATTCCTGAGGCACCTAAGATAGATTTTCAGAGGGGATCAGTCGAAATTTCAAGGGTTGATTACATTTGGAATAGGTAAGAAAGTGCGTGGAGTTTTGGGCATCCAGAAGAGCAGAAAATATATGAAGCTGGTATGGTAAGGGTTGTTAGATGGATAATAGCTTGTCAAAGAAAGTTTGGATTGGATTCTTTCTGCAGAAGAAGTATAGAAGGGCCTTAGAAGGAAAAAGGTAGATGGTTATATCTTGGGTACTTCAGATTTTGTTGATGACGTAGGACGTAGCGTACTATTTTTGGCATCAATTTCCTCAAAAATGGTTTGGTTTATGGAAAAAAGTCATTCTTCAAAGAGTTTTTGAAATTGTATTTTGTACAGAGGTATGCCGAAACATTGGACGATACCGTTTAGTTTCCGTACTTTGAATTTCCAATTTGGTGGGAACATTGATGCAACATTGTACCCTCTCATGTCTTGGTGTAAACAAATCACAGATTGCCAGTCTTTTTTTTCTCTACGGAGGAGGACTGTCCGATAAAGGATGAATGGTACTCCGCAGGAAAAAAAGGACACACAATTTTCTTTGCACAGGAATGCTGTAAAGAATCATTTGTGATATATGTGACACTGACATGAAAAAGAAAATAGGAAAAAATTACCTGCAGATAAATGATTTCTCAGGGTGCGCTTTACGCATGTGGATGCCAAGATTCATGCGTGAGTTGAAAATAATTTTGCACTCAGCACAGCTCACAGATCGAAAATGGACTAGGGCATGTTCTCGACAGTCACTGGGTTTCACTACTGGAATTTTGCAGCAGTTTGACTGAGATGGCAAGGTGCGCCTGGTGAGGATGGCTGGACGGTATGATTGGGTGGTGGGAGGTGGGATGGTCTGTGACAACGCTTGTTGACACGAGAGATGGTGAGCAGTAAATTCCTCTGTTGAGATGAATTTTCTTTTGCAGTTTTGGCAAGTTAATACTGCTTCAGCGTGAGAGAGAAGAATGTGAATAACTCTCTGAAGATTAGATTGAAAGTGGTTGCCACACTGTTCGCATTTCTCACCAAGCTCGTTCCCTTCTAGAGGCATAAGCTGCTACAAAAAAATAAGACAATTATTAGGTCTTTTTTGTTGGTCATTTAGTTTCCATTGACTCATATCGATGTTTATTGTGAGTTTAAGACAAAAATAGAAAATGTACTTCCATCCCATTTCAATGAGCTTTAGAACCATCCCAAAAACTTAAAATTTGTTTACTTAAATATTCGTCTCTGCATAAACTATCTGTTATCAGATGTTTGTTTGAAGTACTAAAGTAATAATGAAAAGTCCAGTAATTGATCCAGTTCATGTTACTGAACATCAGGTCTTATTAGAGAAGGGACAAGTTAAATTTTATCATTGACTAATTCAGTTTGTATACCAGTTCAGGCGACCTCTAACACATCCACTTATTTTGAAATATATAATGTCAGACTGTCAATCTGTCTGTTCTCTTCAAAACTTCAACTAAAATGTTCAATAGCTTCTTCCTTTTCTAATAAGTTTAAATTCATTTCTGAAATTCTCATAGATCTAGGGTGGAACTTGAAACAGTAAGCCACAGTGCCGATTTTTCCTGGAACTGACCTGCGCTGCATAGTGATCAACTAGATGACTAATTACTGAGGAAATCTCATGGCTCGTGAAAACAAAATTGCACATCTGACAGCTCCTTTCATCCGGTTTATGTGTTGCGAAATGGGAAGAGAGGGATTTTCTGCCAGTGAATCCTGCTTTGCATACATAGCACTCAAAATATGGAGTGAACTTCAGATTAATTTCCCTAGGCGAAACCGGAAGTTCAGCAACACTGCTTGGAAAAACAAGAAAAATCTTCTGAGTTTTTATTCATGAAAAAGATGTGACAAGTTAAAGATGCAATTCTCCACCGCTGTATAGTTAATTCTTTTTCTAACAGGGTCTCTTTACTTGCGTTCATAGTAAACATCAAAGTGCGATTTAAATATTGGCTGCACATTGGACATCAGGACCTGTCCTAAGATTATGGAACGCTCATTTACATTTTTTTTTTTGTGTACATTTTAAGGTTTGATAATTTTGTGTGTGCTACCTGGAAAATTACACAATACTGGCTGAGGCCATTATCTTGCCCAAATTCCGAAAATTCAAACAAATTTTGTACAATTTAATTATTGGGGATTCAGGGATGCAGAAAATGCTCCTCCGTGAACGCCGAGGCTTGTAACATGCAGATGTGCTTGAAAACAGGACACAATTTTTCACTAAAAATGTTGCTTCCTTTTTTTCACTAGTTACAGAAAAAAATAGAGGAAAGCTTTTTTCAAACATTTTTGGCTCCACACGTACTTTACTTCATCTGACAGTATGTTAGGAGCCCTAGACTATTGCACATATAAATTTGTTAAAACTTGCTTTAAAGGTAAGGATCTAGGAGTCCTCCGTCTGTCAAACTAGGATTAAAATGAAAATTTTCTTGAGATAAGAGGTTTGTGTGCTCTGAACACATTAAAACCATAGTTGAATCTGAGAGGTAACTAAACATCTGAAAATTATACAAGTCACTTACTGCACATTTATTTTGGCTTCACACGAATGCTGATCTCTGTTTCTTGCTATAATCACCTCTGAGCAAACAGTGCAAAAGAACGTCTGCTTTTGAAAGCATGTGGAATAATGGCTGTAGAAGTTGTTGATATGCGAGAAATTGGTACTACACAGCGCGCATTGCACAGGCACTGAATCCAAATTGATCACTGAATCCACATGATGTAGCTTTATCCAATTTTTCAACAAAAAACTTTGCATACACTCCTCATAGTGAAGTCGGTACTCACTCTCCCATTGTCTTTTAGTGCGCATGCAAAGCGGACATGTGAAAAGATACTGCGGTATGCAAATTTTCCAAGATTCAGGTCTCAAAAAGTAGGATCCACCTTGCTGCTTGCTTTGTCTTTTTCTGCACCTGTAAAGAAAATAATCGAACATTGAGAATTCTAAAAAATACATAATTGTGATCTTCTCACTTTTGAGAGCTAATAAGTATTCCTCACAAATTTTCCTTTAAAATTTTTAATACAGCAAATTTGGTATTAAAATCGATTTTTTCATAGGGGTTTAAGTCCATTACAGTGTTTCAGAATTGGTAAAAACAGTTAGTTTTTGTACAGATAGAAGACTGAGCAAATTTTTTGGAGGAGAAGGATAAAGAAATTTTCTCTCAGGTTCAACAATTTTTGATAAAAGTTCCTTCCCAAAGATCTTTTGGGTAGAATATGAATACAAAAATTATTGATCGAACATACGGATGAAGATGAAGCTACAAAACAAGATTTCATTGACAATGATGATAAATATTCTAATTATTCTATACTCTTAAAATACAGTCCACAGTTATTCATATTGCTCTTCACTTAATATATTGGCCATGGTATCAAATACTGACACCAGACACTGTTCTTAAGTTGGAAACGGCTTCTGGCGCCAACAACTGTCAAGTGAATATTTGACTGTAAAAAGATAATTCTCTTCATCTACAAGTTGTGACTCTGCACATCTGCAACGCGCATTGCAATGATTCATCTTCCCTATGATAGACAAGTTGGCTACAGTGTCGGGTGCCAAACAGAGAGCATTCTTAATATGAAAACAGCAAATGTTTTAGGGTCCAAGTCCAAACCAATATCCAAACTAATATCATGTTATTTTTGACTCTTGTTTCAATTCTTGTTAAAAACTCTGCGTATGATTGTAATTTGGATATTTTTCAAATGCTGGTATTTGCTGGTACATCCATCACCTGCCTCACCGTTGTATCTACTAAAAACATCTTGGTTGCCATAGTGTTATAAAAAAAAAAAAAAAAAAAAAAAAAAAAAAAAAAAAATTGAGCCTGAAAACATATGTGTACAATTGAATGAATTGAGTGAAACATTGTCATACCTATGCTGTAAATATAGTGGATAGTTGTAAAAGACTTCCGGGCATTTATTACATGCAAAGGTGTGCGAACACTCTTCCTCTCTTAAATCACCACAGTATTTTCCACAAACTGAACACATGCCAACTAAGTCTTCAATACTATCAAGACAGTCACCGCTTGCATGTTGAATTGTGTTCAGCTGCTTCAATGTGTTATCTAAATCTATGATTGCTTGATAGTGCTGCCTCTCGTGTTCGATCAGGGGACTAAAAGACCTAAACTGATCTTGGCAGAGAGGGCACATAAATTTATGGGGGCATTCAATGATTGAATTGTTGAGGCTGTTGCTACAGGTATTGCACTTGCTATATGCATAGCCGTGGATTTCCCCTTGGTGTTTGCGGAGACTGGCAGAGGAGAGAACAAATGTTTTGCATTCGTGGCACTGCGTCATGTGTTTTTCTTGGAAATGGGCTAGCAACTTATTTTTTTCCACGATTTTGTTGCAGTAACTGCACAGGAGTGGGTTATGAAAAATGACACCTAAAAGAAAACAGGAAACTTCAATTAATTGTACATTTCATGTTTCATTTTGGTGAAATCCAGGATGATAGTGTCGGCTTCATAATAGATATGATGAATTGTAATTAGGTGGTTTGTTTTAAAAACATTGTTCTACATTTTGTGATTGTGGAAGGTATGTATGTAAATTTTTTGCTCTGATGATGACCACCCCGTTGAAAAGGCTTTAAGCAATAAAAAATTCAGTATTGCATCGCTTTGGTTTAATCAATTTAATCAATAATCATACTTCAACTTTACAATACAATCGTCAAAGAACTATGTTTCCTTATGATTTTTAAGGACAAGAGTAAAGAATTTTGAACAACCAGAAAAGTGGCTCAATGCAGTTTGTTCTTCTTAACTTTTTTGGAACTGGTTACTAACAGTTCAGGGCCTGAATTTTGATAGCTACGGTTAACTGCAAGTTGCAAAACCTGACCTCTAAATTTGACTATGAACCGGGAAAGATATATAATAAACTCAAACTGTTTGGAAGTTGAGCTTTTTTGAGAGCATACTTAAGCCATCCTCAGTTCCTAAAAGGTACAAACCATTGATCAGCGATCAATTAATGAAGTTGACACTCTTGCCTTAACTTGCAGTCCACCACACTGCCGTACTAAGGAAGAACGCTGTATGAACATTCGAGAGTTGCCTTACTGACATTATTACCTGACCTAGATATTATTCTTTTTATTTAACATTGGCTACAAAAAACTTGAATTTTCTACTTGTATGAAAAATCAGGGTCTACTTGAATTAAATCGCACACTTCAGCGGTTTTGGCAACCTTCTCGATGAGTAGTGTTCTTTTGCTGTCCTGAGTTCTCCAAAAGATAAACAACGTGCTGTAGCTGAGCTGCGAAAGATTGAGTTTGCCACATTTTTATACTGCAAAGATTGTCACAGTAACAATAAGTGTGCGATTCCATTCAAGTAGATTATGCTTTTTTTTGTTTTTGTTTTGTTTTTGGAGCAGGAATTTTGGAGTTAGGCATTTAAAAAAATTGATATCTTTGTTCGGAGTTACTTGCATTAATTTTTGTTGTACTAATTGTGTTCTATCTGAAATTTTGATGAGATAACATGAATCATAATAGTCAAATTCGCACCATGTCTAGTGGTCCATTATGCTTATTCAAAAATTAATGGTTCTGGAGATGAAAGGAAAAAATAGAAAGCAATCCTTACAGACATCTTTGGATCGATCTGCTGGCTCATGGATGGTATTTGGGAGATCTAAAAGCTGTGCTTCATAATGCAAAGAATCATTGATTATCATTTGTAGGTACTTTTTCGCTTCATCAGTATAGCTTCCAGGAGAAATTTTGAATCCTACTGGAGAGCAGATGCCATTACTGGTAATATGATAGTTAACTTCATACTTGAAATTGACGATATATGCTGAGGTTTTATGACCAGGTTGAGAAACTGCTTTCTCGGCAAAATCTGCTAGCGAGACATGATTGGAAGGAATGATATTGGTTAAAAAATTCTTGCTGAGAGGAGGGAGCCAGACTGTCATTTGAAACTGCAGCATGTGCTGTAAAGATAAACACAAGTTGATTCTCAGGTCATGATGGTAAAAATATATAAAAGTATACATGTCGCTTTATAGCATTCCTTGCCACTCTAGGACACCTAACCGCCATTGTCCCCAATGGACCACTAGACAAGGTACGAATTTAAGCAATCTGATACATGTTTCTTAACCAGAATTTCACGTAAAACAGGAGTCGCGCAACGAAAATTACTGAAGACAACTCCTAACGGAGATATTAACATTTTTATTTCACATTGGTTACCAGGAATTTAAACTGCCCGCTCACAAGAAACTCAAAGCTCTACGTGAGCCAAATCACGCACTATACAACGGTTTCAGCAAGCTTCTCAATCGAGCAATGTTCATTTCCCACCATGTATTTTTCAAACTGTAAGTAATTTGCTATAGCTGAACCAAAGCGTCAAGATTGAGGTTGCCAGATTTTATATCGCAGAGACGTTCATGATAACGTATAGCGCGCGATCTGAATCACGTAGAGCATTGAGTTTTCATGAGCAGGTGGTTTGAATTCAAGCGCCAAGAATCATTAAATATCTTCGGAGGGAGTTGATTTCGGTAATTTTCGTAGTGCGCATCGTGTTTTACGTGAAATTTTGGAGAAGAAACATATATCATAATGCTGAAATTCGCACTTTGTCTAGTGGTCCATTGAACTACAACCCTTTGAAAACTGAGCACTTTAACATTTATGCTTCAATCCCATCTCTCCAGGGGCCGATGATTTTCCGTGCTTTCCACATTATTGGTGATTTGTGGCAGCGAATGCTTTCACAATTTACACTCTTTCCACAAAAAGTGGATACCTTACCTTCTTTCCCTTTTCTAAATGTGGGTAAACTGTGAAAGGTTTCTAAAGCGGCAATCATAATTTTGACAGTCTCCTCACAGATTTTGTAAAGTGTGGAAACAGTGAATAGAAAACTGTGGAAGGCTTTTAAAATTTTTAAATTTGAGGCAATATTCGGTCTTTATGCACTATCCAGAAGAAAAAAAAAGAATAAATTCAAGGGCTACCTACAAAAATAGAGACCCTCGGGTCAAGTGATCTAGGATATTATCAACCCCTGCGTGACTCCACCCTCTTCCAGGCTAGGCTAGGACCTTCTTTGGTAACATGTCTCCTGCCAATCTCTGAACATGACCATACCAGGTACATAATTTATTTTGTAATAACGTAATACTTGATGGTCTGTTTAGCATCTATATTCTCCTATACCATCTTATTCCGTTTATGAAATCCTCTTGGGAGATCCTGTAATCTCTACAGGGGGCATCCCTTGGATTGCAGATTAAGGAATGTTTACCAAACATGGTGAGTGATAATATTCACATCAGATTTCATACTTAAATATTTTGCTGGGTTTTAAATAATGTCGCCAACGTTTTCCTAACAAAGGATTTTTTTAAAAAAAAGAAATTGATTTATCTCCTGCACTGAAAAAAAATTTTTCCCATTAAATTTTATTTTTTCTCACTTGCGAGAAGAGTAAAGAAAAGAAAAACAAAATGGAATAACAGCTTCTATTAATTAGATTTATGACCAACCACCCTCGATCTTCATAATTATTAACTGATTAAAAAAAGAAATGCATATAAATTAATGTCCAAACATACTAAGGGATGAGAGGCTTTTTCCCATTTAATCGGATGTGAGGTGTTCTGCGATTCAGCAGCAAAGGAGGTTGACATTTTTGGCTGCATTATGACAGAGAATGGTACACCAGCCTGGAACACATTTAGAACGATTTAAAAAAAAGTGACAGTTCTGTTGATTTTTGCCGCTTCCTTTATTTTAGAAACATAAAATATAGTGATGCATAAAAATGGGAAATATGTTAAAACTTCCCAGAATATGAGAAAACTCAGGATTTCTTACAGCTCCAAAAAATTAAAAAAAAGTAAAAACAGAGGAATGATAATATGGCTAGAGTATTATAGAAATAACTCCATTGCCACGGGTTTAGGTAGAGTAGAAATATTGTAGGAGCCTTAAAACAAACAAGAATTGCATCTCACTTTGAGAAAAATATCACCCTCGGTAAATTAAATTTTAAAATTTTCCGCATATTCACTTACACCTAAGATTTTTTTATTGGCATATTAGGCTCCATTCTCAGCTGTCATTGAACGGCGAAAACTCTCATGAAATTCCAAAATGAGGAATTAGGTGAAAAAATGGCGAGGCTGTTAGTTTGCTTAGAGCATGATTTTCTAGAGAATTGTTTTTTGCATCTGGCACATTTTTAGGCGCTAATACGTAAAATGTGAGGGCTGTATCTCTATTTTTAAGCAAAGAGATATTTTTTCTGAGCAATGGTTTTTTTAAAGAAAGTATTACCGTATAAAACAATTGAGGAACAAATAACAGAAGAATCCTCTGGCAATTTGCTTCCAGAAAAACTGGACGTGATTGAAACATTCGAAAACTTGACTAACTTCTTCATTCAGTAGGTTTTGAAGGTAGAAGAATGATCTTCTTTTAAATATATAATTGCAGTTTACCTTTGTTAAATACTCATTTTCTTAGCTCCTCTTTTCTACATGAAAGAATACAGTTCTCCAAAGAGGCGATACCTCTTTTCCTAGGGAATATCACTTAATCCAATGATATATTTTCATTGCTGCTAACATTAAGTTCATAGAAATGTCTTGCCATGGTTTAGTGTCTTTTCATAAGTTTTGCAAAATTTTCCTGGGGCCAATTGAAGACTTCAATCTCAAATCACCATTTTGCTACCTCTGCTACGTTTCTACCTACCTCCCTAAATGCTTGATTTTAATTAGAATAAATCTATTGCAAAAGTCATAACATCATGTTTATGCAGGGTATCCCACACCACCCATACCAGACTTTTTCTCGGATGTATTAGGTTGGACGAAGATAGGGGTGGCGGGAATGAATAGAGAATTGACCCCAAAGAATCCTAATTTCAGTCCTAGAACTCTCTTCTCCTCCCTGCCTTCCTTGAGAGATTAAATGGACTTCATTTTACAATTTGGAACTATAAATTCTAGCCTGGATTAAAAACAACGTAAGTGCCGTTAGTTTCCCTATGCAAGTGTTTTTCCAGAGGAGCCAGAATCTATAGTTCAAAATTGCAAAATGCAGTCCAAATGGGAATCCTCACATTGAAAGTCAGGGATTAAGTCAAAATTCAGAAATTCCCCTGTCCTCTAGTTCCTTAGAATTTTAGACCCTATCAAAGGGGAATTCTGAATTTTGGATTTGAGGTTCTTTGTCTAGTGGTCCATTCTGTGACACGCATGACTGACGAAACATTAAACCAGTTCTTGGGTTTTGTGAACGAGAACATACCTTCAACAATTCTATTTTATCGTCCATAGTCAAACATCTTTTCGCTAGAATGTTTCCCAAGTGTATATTGGTGCGTAGGAAATCGTAATCTACTTTAACAGGAGATTGTTGTTTAGCTTCGCCTTCAGGTTCCACATGTAATTTCCCAGCTTGGCTTTCCAGAGGAAATTTCCCGGAGGGTGGAACAGAAAGGACGCAAGTTCCAGGAGATGATCCATTTTTGTCCGGCTCATCATGATTCTGCATATAAAAAAAAATAATCAATTAAACCATCGCCAACTTATTTCAGATATCGACAGTGAGTCTGCAAAAATGCATGTCTCGGTTGCGGTGATTAAAAATCTCTGCTCCTGTTTCATTTTTCAAAAGAAGACCAAACCAAGATCATGGCTTGACATTCTCACAGAATATTCTTTACATTGAGAGAAAAAAATCACCGAAGTTTTCAAGAAATGACATTCAGTAGTTTTCCAAGTAGAAAATAAAGCATAAGTAATGACAGGAGGTCAACCACTATGATGTAAACCAAGATTAATGAGAGTTTCTTGTCAGAAGAGTCTGTGAAGAGGTCTGTGGACACATGTGTTGTTACCAATTTAGTGCAAAAATAAATGATGGTTGCGAGAAGGATAGGACAGAAAATTAGATAAAGGCAAGTGTATCTTACCTGTTTTCAAAATCCACAAACATCACTGACACAGAAATTTCTAACTAGGTATGAGAATGATAATTCTTTTAATGTATTTGCTAAATCAGGCAGTGCAAGACTGTAATTTATCATGGATCAACAGTCATGGTGCAAATTCAAGCATTAAATGATATACATTTCCTAATCAAAATTTCACATAGAGCACGATTTAGGTAACAAAAATTATCACATATAATAAAGCTGAACAAAGTTATTAACGTTATTTGATGCATTAATTCAACCTTTCCACTCATAAAAAAAATTCATTATTTACTTGAGTTAAATTGCACACTGAAGATGAATGATGGAATGATGGAGTGATATGCTTGAATGAAGATCTTACATTGTGATTTTTGCGAGGTATCGTTTCAATCTCATGGAAATCTTCATAATGATTTTGAATACATGTCTCAACGGTATAGAATCGACAGGCCAGATCATCCATTACTTGAAGAATGCCTACACACTCCAGGCATGCGCGAAAAAATTCTCTATGAGATTCCTCCAGCTACAGAAAGAAAAAAAAAACAGGAAACAGTATAATTGAATGAACTCAAAATTTAATCCTGGAAAATTGGACAAATTGTTCTCAGTTCTGCTTTGATTCATAAAAGTATAAATAAATGGATCTCTAAAAACTGATTTGATGGCTTTGATCAGAATCGGCCGAACTGAATTTCGCTACCCATTTCCTTTCACATTCACAGATGAAGAATTTTTCACCTGTATTCACAGAGCATGTAATGCACTTGAGGAAAAGGGAACAATGTACAAGAATGAGAAGTTAAAATTTCAAGTTTTAATTTGGATGCTCATAACATGCGTTTTGAGCGTTTAAGAAAACGGGGACAAGACCGGCAACGGCACGAGAACTCCATCTCGACTCGACTGAACTGCTGGTAATAAATACTAGCATGATTGTAAGGTTATACACTCATTTCCTACATCAAATGTAAAGGTATGATGGACTTCGATACAAAATATTATGGTCATTACATGAGCAGGAATCTATTCATAATGATAAAGAAGTGAATTCTCTCGTACCATTTCGGCAAGACTTTAACTGTGTTTTTCTCAAAAATCACATTTTTGCTCCTCATATTTAAAATATTCTTTAGAAGTCAATTTTCCGAATTTTTTAGTTTATATTGTGGCAAATGATTCAGAACTACCTCCTTAGAGCGAAAATATTCTCAACTTACATTTTTTTTCGCCTTAAGTTCCTTTTTCTCTGAGGTATCAATATAATGCTCTAAAATTTTTTTGTTGATACATCCCGAGTAACTCGTAGGTTATTATTTAAAAAAAAAACCTATAACTTAGATGTGAGAAGTAACACGGTGAGGAAACAATGTCTGATTCTGGTTAAAGCTTTCTAATCAGCAACTTAGCATCTTATAAGAAAGTCGAAAACTTTTTGATAGATCAATCTCCCACAAAAAATTGTGAATCTTTCTCAGGGCATCCTGAATCCTTAAAACATTAAAAAATTGTTCCAAAGATTAACTGAGAAGATAATTTTTTACAGAGGGACAGAAAACCTGCCCGACAGAAAAAATTCTGCAAAAACATTTTAAAATCTATATTTCTGGCAGTTGCTGGATAGGACTTCAGCAGCCCAGCAAAATATTTTCTCCCAGAAATAAAGGAATTTTTGTAACTCAAGCGGTTCGTTCTTCTAGGGAAGTATTCTCCTGTCATTGAATCAGTGATTACAGAACTAACATTTCCACAGGCCTTGTTCCGTAAATTAAAATTGGAAGGTGAATATAATCAAACCAAAGAGTTTTCAAACTCATAAGGTCTATAGAGAGGGGAGTAAAGATGAAAAAAATTTGAAATAAAGAAAATGGCAGATGATAAACTCAACATAATTTTATGTTGGCTGTTTATTAGCTGTATTGCAAATTAATCACTTTTTGTAAGTTAGTAAAAACATAGCTGCTTGTTTCCACTTTTAATAAAAATTTGTCATCGAAGGGAGAAGTACTTTTTTTAAAAAAAATAAATAAATTGATGGTACTGAAATTGTTTCATAAAGATTTTTTTGAAGATAATACAGCTATATTTTGCTGGTCCTTCTCTCTTACTAGAGTCATATTCGATTACCAGTGCTACTTTCAAACTGCAGAGCATTTGGTGCAAATACTTTCAGTGGACCTTTACATAAGGTAGGACTTAAAGCGTTCTAGTGATGGTCCTTTCTTTAAATTCCTTAGAGGAAGCGGATACTTAAAAATTTTTAAACGAGGCCGCATCACAATTGAGCAGCTTGAAATTAATGAGCTATCACTACTTACTTTAATGACTGAGACAATATACTTACCTCAGAGGGTAAGTAAATGTTTATAATTGATTTGAATATATGTTCATCACATCTTTCAAGGCAGTCCATTTCACGCCGTGCGCAGATCTGACACGTTTCTTTAATTATCGTCCCAACAGAGCACCGCTTCGGAAGCCTTTGGTCAATGGGAGGCTGAGAATCCCAAAACTTGTTCAAGATCTTGCTGTTCACAAACTCACGCCACTGTTTATCAGCAGGATCCACTATTCCGACTAGATTAGGATATGATTTGTAGATCTCACGGTTAAAAAGTGGTTCAGTTAGCAAGTAGCGGAACGCCAGATCGTCAGTCATTTGGAGCACCCCAACACACTCTAGGCAGATTGTTAATGGTAGGGGATCATCGTCTCTCAGAATCTGAAATTGACAGGGGAGGGGGGATTTTACATGGTATGCAATTGAAAGTTAGAACCTCTTGTAGCTCATGGGTTCTAGTAAAGTTGGAAAAAATAAAAAAATTGTGAGCAAATAGTGAAGATATACGCTCAACCCTCTAAAGGAAAGGGAATCTTAGTCAACGAATCTAAAATTTTCAACGGAGGAAAAATCGATTGCAATGGTTAAAAAATGGATTTCCAGATTTAAAAAGAAAACTATAATACCTTGAGGAATGAGTTGCAGGTGTTTGTTTCATTTTTAAACCAAAAGAAGGTTTAAAGTAACATCATAATATGAGAATTGTGTACCTACCCCGAACATGGTTGATCTGAATAATTTTAAAATGATTTATTTTCAAGTTCCTATTTTTTGGAGCTGTCAACTTATAACCACCATAACTATTGTTACGTTTGACTTCTTTCGGCATTTTCCTCTCCTACAATCTACTTAGAACACTGTTTTGTATAATTTATTAACAGTGTTACTCCCAAACTATGTGCCTCGTTTGCCGTGTTTAAAATCATTCTTTTATTTTTTAAGGGAGAATGATGCAACCACATTCCCTTAAGTTTTTCCAGAATCTGCTTCGCACAGAGAAGTAAAATCATGGAAGTTTTTAAGAATTGAAGTTGAGTAGGTAGTTCTTCATTTGAAAAATTAAGGATGACAGGAAGTCTGCAACACCGCAAACCGAGGAAGTTGGTTCGGGAGTTCCTCCAGCAAAACAAAAAAGTAGGCTTTGGGCTTTTATATTCTTTTCTTCTTCACTTATCAATTTTATTTCTATCTCACATTCACCTTGTCAGAGGATTAGTGCTCTGATTGTGGGAGACATCTATGGTTTAGTGTAAGGTATGAAGATATCATTCCATTGCCTAATCCCGACAACATCTATTAAAGTAGCGTGTGAGCTGCCTTGCTGGATTCATGAACCCAACTTCAAGATATTTCTGCTATACTGATACGTGACATCCACATACGAGGCTAAGTCTCTGTGAACAGTTGCTCAAATCGCACTGACTTTCTTGATTAAGATTCATTGAGAATAGTTTCTTGTTTGCTTGCCTGATAAGTTAATGTTGTCAAGCCTTTCTTTTTACATCTCTAAGACCATTAACACCACCAACTAGCTATTGTCAGATGAGCTAACAAAATAAAGCAAAACGAAAGCTAAAAAATTTAGAGCCTCATTATACTTGCATTGTTCGAGACGGATGAGTTCCGAATCCTATCAATCTAGAGACTTGGTCTCGCAGTTGTGATGATGAGGACCAAAATTTGTTGGCTTCTGCAATTTGTTCCATTTTGTTTTATTTAATTTCATTAGCTGATCTGATAGCAGCTAATTAGTAGTCAAAATCGCCTGGATGAATTCAGAAGAAAAAATTGACAACTGTACCTACTAAGGGAAAAAGAAGAAAAGCACAACTAAAAAAGTTTTTGGACAAACGTTTATCCTACTTACGTATTCTCTTTGATAAATCTAAAAAGGTTGGACTATCATGAGGAAAGACACTTACCTCAAGGGGTAAATAGGTCTGCATCAATGTGGAAATTGAGCTCCCTTCTTCAAAGATGTTCATACATTTGACATTGTATCTTCCGCAAACTCGGCACATGGTGCAGATAAGATTCTCATTAACTACCGCTCTGGCATCTGTTCTGAATCGAAAATCATATTTTTCCTCTGACTTATCTTCTGGATAACTTGAAAACGAAGGGACTCCACTGTACCTTCGAGCGAGGTAAACAACAAGTGGTGGCTCCTCTGCAAAACAGATCTCTTTGCTCAGAGTTTGTACATTATCATTTGAGCGTGTGCAGTCTGAGAGCTCGTTGTTGATGTTCTCTTTGCAAGAGACTTTGCCGGAAGATTCAGTTTGATGATTTTTCCTGTCAGGTGAGGACTCATTATCAACTCTGGAATCTTTCTGATTGAATTCAGTTTCCTTTGTACATTTTTTAGGTTTCTTAGGTTGTTTGCATGCTTGCTTTGTTATCTGCATGGCGACTTTAGACTGGCAATTACCTCTTGATGATTTAGCAGCGATTACTGAGGTGTCATTCGGTGTAGATTCAGGGATGATTTTTGATGCAACATCCTTGATATTTCTGACAGGGGAATGAGCTTTTCCACACTTGGAATTCAATTCTGATGTTGATGGTTTCGGTTTGATGCATGTATCACTTGACCCTGAATTGAAACCATTCGACTGCTCAACTTGGTCTCTTCTATTTTGCTCAGCCTGTAAATTCTGGACATGTTCCAGAAGCGCTTCGTACTGTTTCTTCAAAGCAACAAAATTTTCGATACTGACAGAGCTAGCATGAGCTGTTTGATCGAAACCCTCCTTTTCTGATCTCGTACGTTTGAGAGGAGGCTCACCTCTTGGAGCTTTGCCGCTTTTTTTTTCGCTCACCCTGGCCTTACTGCCCATCTCCATTTATGTTGCTGCCAGGGGAGATTTAGATGATCATGAGAAAATAGTGAAAAGATCAGTAGGATATTGAAGAATTACCTGAGATACGTGAAATAAAGAGAGCAAAATGATACATGTAGACAGTGAGACAGTCATCTTTAGATTAGTGATCAAAAGGGGAAAAAATCGTCTGGATGATGAATAGAGTTTCTGTGAGGCACAATTCGCAAAACTGCAACACGAAGTACGTCAAAATTTGAATAAAAAGGGGGAGAACAATTAGTGGAGGATGGGTAGGTGAGAATTTTTCAAAATTGCACGTTACTTTGTTTACCTTTTTACTTCCTCCCTCGTTCACCAGAGCTCGTTGTATGTCATGGTAAAAGTTAGGTTATGTCATCATTCGCATATTCGTATGTATCTCCTGAAAGTTTTATTTTTTTAACATCTCATACTCATACTCATTAGTGATATTTTCCCACTTAAAAAAAATGTACTTTCGCGTCTTTGCTCATGAAAATCAGAATGTTATTTTGAATCTGATTTCTTAATTTCAACGTTTGCAATCGGCATAGTTATCAAGCAGGTCCCTTTCGTAGTATCACACCTCCCTCAGTTTTGTGAAAATGCTCTGCTCTACTTTGAACTTCAATAGCCATGTAGTTACATCCCGAATCACATTTTTCCGTCTGCTCTCAACGTCGAAGATTTTAAAATCAGGTATGTTCACAGTGGTAAACTCAGCTTTTCCCAACGGCGTACATGCAGTCTTGGCCTGCTGTTTTCATTATGGATGCCTTGTTGATACAATTTTACTCTCATGATAATTATTGCATTATGCACAAAGACATTGAATCACGTAGACCCAGCGTTTGGCTCGGTTTAGGACTGGCGGAGCGAGGCAAGTCTCTGGAGCTCCATGATGGGCGGGCGGGGAAGGGGAGAGCGTGTGTCCCAAGCACTCAAAGAGGCAATGGAGAATTCATGCCTGCGCTCGGTTTTTCACAAATATCTCGTTTAGAGTCCATTTTCAGACAAAATTCCTAAGAAGAAAAGTTATAGAGCACATAATTTTACACCCGATTAGCATTGTTTCATTTTTCCGAACTAATTATTAACGAAGGAAAAAAGCCTTACAATCCGACAAAAATTCACTGGAGCCGCTAATGCGCATGCGCAGATGTGCGCAACCGGGACACACGAACTCATCGTTGCAGGTCGGTGCCACCATTTCTCATATGCGAATTTTTAAAAGTTGCCTCGCCTTCCGTAACACAGGATGCACAGTCTACGTGATTCAATGTCTTTGATTATGCACCACATTCAGCGTACTGATTTGCCAGGGGTTTGTCACTAACTCCTTAAATTGCCACCTTATTTGAATTTTGCTCATGGAATGTCTAGCAAGACTCTTCAGGATGTCGTCTCATTTATACACTCTAGTTATACCTACCATCCTCTGTCTTTGACCTCTTTGAATTTAACTACTAGACTAGGTATCTGTAACCTGAGAGGTCAATGCTACATTTTCTTCTAGCATTATGTGTCATTGCTAAAGAAACACAAAAGTGGAAATGCAATTTGAAGAGTCACAGTAGATTATGAAGAGCCGCGTTGTCGAAGTAAACTGTTTGGGACCGTTTGCAAATGGATTTACCCAATTCCAAACAGTTTGTGTTGTTGGACTCAGTAAGAACTACCCAATGACTTGTGTGTGTACGTATGTATGCCCAACTTTTATACAAAACGCCCAACGACCCCAGAAGGTTGATTGGGACCGTTGGGTTGCGCAAACTAAAAAACTAAAGAGAACCGGACAAGTTTACTTCAACAACGCATCTAAGGTTGAGCTACTAAGGCAACTTAATAACCTGCTTGTGCTGGTTTTCTAACTTTAACAAGTTTACTTTATAAGACTGCACTGAGAAACCTAATGCACACCCTTGTTTTTCAAGAAAATACTTTGCAACGTTACAACTTCATTCCTAGTTCGATGTTCTATTTTTAGATAATGCTGTCAATGAGAGAGATTACATTTTTTTCAAACCAGAAGTTCAAACCTTGCTGAAGAAACTAACGGGATTAGACATTAACAAAGTTTTTCGAAGGAGAGCCCTTGGTGAAACTCCGCGACCTCCTGAGTACAAGTTTATGACCACAGCACAAATTCAGAAGGTACATATTTTTTTTACTATTTTAAATCTTCACAAACTAAAATTCATAGCAGAATATTTTATTTTGGCCTTTTTATATCGCCCTAGAATTTGCTCCAAGTTAGTTGATATCATTTTATTTATATTTATTTCCGAAAACTAATAAAATATTCCTCAAAGCAATGTAACTCTATTAAATCCAATGAAGTATCAAAGTAACACAAAATTTCACCTGAGAACCAGTGACATTAACTCCAAATTTAGAATAAGAGCATGAGAAATTTTTTGGTTGGATATTCCTACCAAGATTTTTATCACCCCTGGCCCTAGGAAGGTAGGATGGAAATTAAGATTTTACAGGCTGTCTAGCATCAGGATTTTCCCAATTCTATCAGGATTTAATTCCAATTTCATCAGGATTCGAGGAAAAATCGGTCGTCAAATCAGAATTTGAGAAAAGCTCTTGTGTTTAAAACTCAGAACTAAATTCTAGAGTTCTACTTTTGCATACACTTATGCAGAATTTTAATTTTTCTCCGCCAAAAATCAGGATTTGGAAAAATTATGAAATCAGGATTTAGGAGTCAAAAATCAGGAAAAATTAGGATTTCATCAGGATTTCCCAAAATGAAAAAAAAACAAAAAAACTGGACACCCTATTTTACCTTCAGATTTGTGGCAGTAGTTTTTCTGACTGGACAATTTAAGTTGACCTAAGTTCAAAAAGTTTATACATTTACCATCATGAACCTCTCTTTCAGGAAATGGAGAAGACTTTAAAAAAAGCAGAGAAAAAGTTACAGATGCCCCCTGTTGTTCCAATCTCGGAAGATAAGCCCAAGGTCATTACGAAAGACCCTGCATTAGCTGGTTATGACCCAGATGATGCTAAATACATCTTTACCGATATAAACTTCCCAGCGAATGATAGGGTAAGTCATTAAAAGGTTTAATTCTTTTCTTACATGCTAAAAATGAGCTGCTCATTTGACAACAGCTGTAAACACCATAGAGACTCTATTACACTCATGGGATTATATATCAATAGCTTTTGTTATTTCTTGATAACCGTCATGATTTTTTTTCTACTTATAAAGTATCCTTCAATAATTTTAAGCAATGTGGTCAGAATTGTATTTATTTCTCTCAAATAGGAACAAAAACGTTGACACATTTGAATCAAGAAACACGTTTTCTAACTTTATCATTGGCACAGAGTATTTTGATAGGAGCGATATAATCGTTTGCCTAAATACTGAAGAAGCACCTCAAATGAACATATTTATACGAAAAAGAACTATGTCGCACGCAATCCCTATGCACAAAGGTACTTTTAGCATAAATACGTTCAAATTACAGTCTTTTTTGTGAACCCCAAATCACATGGACTTTGGTCTACAAGGGTATTTTTAAAATCTCTGTTTATTCCTGGCTACATAAGTATCTATGCCCTTAACGTTGCCTTCATCGGTAGTTTGTTCACTAAACTTAAAAGAACTTTATTTTTCCCTAAAATGCCCCAATGGAATGTTATTCAGCAAAAAAGTCTGATCGGTCCAGACGCATTTCAGTTTGGGACACTCTGCACATGTGAAATTCTGAAATTCTTCTTTTGTCTTTTACCTATTCTAAACAATGTTTGTTCATTCAGGCACGATTAATTGTTGTGCGCGAGCCTGATGGAACTCTGCGAGAAGCCAACAAGGATGAAAGACATCGTATGAATCAATTGTATTTTCCAGTCAAAGGACGCACCCTCTATCATCCTAGAATGTTCCAACCAGAAAACTTGAAGGTGAATTACGCATCATTTTTAAGAACAAACCATTTGAATGTGTTGCTTCAATATCTCTCTTGATATCTGGGCTGTCCAAAGACTCATATGCACCTGGATAAAGTAATTTTTCATCAAAAGTGAATGTAGTGATGAGAGGGTGGAAGAGGACATTATAAAGAATAGAATGAAATTTAGTCTGGTTCAAATTCCTCTAAAAACTGTTCAATAAAAACATACCTTCTGTCTAAATGAAATATAGCAAAATCCGAATGAATCGGTCTCTCAGGGTGATCCTTAGAGTGACACCGAAGATAATGGATTGGATTTTGATCTGGGTCCCAAGAAAGAACAAGACTATGAGAGCAAAAAGACTTCAAGTAAGAAATGAGGCAAATATTAGTAGTTTTTTTTTTTCATCTAACCTCTCAAAAGTTCGAAGGTTATTATGAAGGTGATTAATTTTTTGACTCATTTTTCTTTCAGTTTCACAGCTTGCTTATACATACGTTAAGTGCATAGTTTTAAATGAAGCAATCTCTTAGTAATCGTTTAGTAATTCTAGAAACAAGGAAAGGACCAAATCAAATTAAATAGGAATCGCTAGACTTAAAAAAAAAAAAAAAAAAAAAAAAAAAAAAAAAAAAAAAAAAAAAATAACAGAAATAAGTAAGAAAAGTTATAGTTTCCTTTTTTATTATTATTATTCTATTTTTTCTAAGTTAAGCATTCTCTATTTAAACCTCTCAAAAACAGCTTTGACTTTTGTAGGGTTAAATGTCTCATGTCTTTCTCCTTTTACTCCAAATAAGTTTGTTTTATACTTCCAATTTTAATATTAAATTTCTCGAATTTTCACAGCCTGTTCTGGAACGGCGAGACTATGAATTTATACTGGACCGCGCATGTATCCAGTTTGAGCCAGACAGCATTGAATATCATAATACAGTGTCTGTAACATATGATCATATAGACGAAACCCGGTCTTATGAAGTGCTGCGTTCAACAAGGCACTTTGGACCATTTGTCCTTCATTTAGTAAAAAAACGGGAGATTGATAATTTGCTTGAAGAAAATTTCAGATCCGACCGGTGAGTTTGTTATCCATGGCTTTAAAAATTATTTCTTCAGAATCATAATATTTTGGAACTCTCAGTAATAACAGTCTGATCCCGGTTTTCTTCAACATTCTACCGAGATGGCCTTTTATTTTTTTTGATTTAAAAACCTGAAAATGCATAATTTTTTAACCAGCAAAATTTGGTTGCAAATATATAAATTGCTTTGAAAGTAACCTACACCCCATTTCTTCAGATACAGAGATCAGCTCATGTATGGGCCATTATTTTTTAGCTGCGTTGATGGCATCTAACGTTTTATTTATCTCACCTTCAAAAGATATTTTATCCAAAGAAACCCTGCAGTTACCTGATTTCCAATTTTTCCATTTTTTGTGTGAATCGATTATAGCATTTTTTTAGCAATCATTTCTCCTCTTTGTATTCCCATGTATTTATTATCAATTTCATTTTTTTCTTTTTTTTGCAGGTTAGAGGATGCTGCCTCACTGATTCAGTTGTATCATATCGTCCACCCTGATTGTAAATCAGCATCTACTAAGTATACCCCTGGCCGGGAGATTGAATTCATACAGGTAAGATGTGTTCTCAAAATTCTAAATGAACATATGCAAAGGGATTTTATTAGATTTATGAAACTCGTTGACTAATCTGAACTAGTCTGTAATCTTGTTTTTTCGTTCTCTTGGATTTTAATCATAAGGCACTTACAGCTTGTGTAATATGCCTTCCTTTGACTGATAATAATGGACCACTAAGTCAGGTGCAAATTGCAGCATTATGATTTGTTTCCTCATCAAAATCGAAAGCAGAACTCAATTCGCCCAACAAATATTACTGTAATCAACTCTCAACCAAGATAATAACGTTTTTATTCAGCATTGTTTCAAGCTCGAGCTCGATAGCAGAAAATTCAGGCGGCTGTGCTGTACTTATGATGGGTCCAATTACACCCAAAACAAGTCTGCAGTTGTGTTCCTGAATGGTCGTAACCAGTGTTGCTCCAAACAGCGTATCTCTTATAGGGAAAATTGTGCTCGAATGAGCTCTTTCCCTCTGCATTGAGATTTTCAGCTTTATGCTAAAAATTTCAAACTAACTGTTGATAAAATTAGCGCACTACAATGATTTTGGCAGACTTCTCAACAAGTGGTATTCCTTCCCTATTCTGTGTTCTCCAATGTGAAAACAACGTGCAATAGCTGAGCTGAAGCGCTGATACTGAGGTTATCATATTTTTATACTGCAAGGTCTTTAATGGTAACGTTCAGCAGGTGTTTTCACCCAAGTAGATCATGGTTTTTTTACGAGTGAGAAGTTGAAATTTATGCATAAGAAAATGTTAATACTCGTCATGAGTTACGTTTGGTAATTTATGTGAAACAAATCATGTTCTACAGGAAATTTTGATGAGAAAACATAAATTATAACCCTTAAATTCGCTCCTTGTCTAGTCTTCTATCAACTACCATTTTTCATAAATGATTTATGCTGAATTCACTGGACTTCTCTGTTTTCAGGATTTTTCAAGGATTTTCATCTACCTCATATTTCAAATGATTTGTTTATTTTGTTTCAGGCCTACATTGATAATGACAGTAATAAAAAGAGTTTTCTCCAGGCAGCTTTAGATTCTGTTGAAGACATCCAAAAAGTTGATTCAGGTTAGGTAAAGTTAGAGCCAATATTAATCTTAACTAAGGTACCACGGTCTCTTTGAATGTATTTGTGCTCCATGTTTTGTTTATGTTTAAAAAATACAACCAAGTTTTCCATAAGAAAGTTAGACTATGAAATTTTTTATCAACTCAAGTCATCAAGAGGTTACATTATTGATTACTCGTCCTGGAAAGCCGAAGCATTTCAGGCCAATTCACCCCCAGAAGGTCTTGATCAAGATGATGATGCCATACGTATGATTTTCTTTGTGTATTAATGAGTGCATTTTTTGCTAGTTAATGGAAGATTAAAATGGTATTTTTTCAATGTGCAGGAAGAGAACAGCTAGATAATATTGATGACATTTGGGATTTATCGAGAAAAGGAAAAACTTGCTCCAAAATAATTATCCTACTTTGCAACATTAGTTATAAATTTAGCCAATTAAAAATAAACAGATCATCAAGATAAATGGAAAGCTTTATCCCTTAAATATCAATTTTTACCTAGCTGTACCTTTTCCTCAGGCTAGCTTTGCACTTGCCCTTTTTTTTGGATGTGTGCAGTACAACTGTTTCCAAGGCTTTGCCGGCAGTTCCTCCCTTTCAAGTAGGTATGTGGTGAGACAAGTGCGGAAAATGAGTATCACGCTGATCATCAAGGGGAAAGAAGCCTTTATTCTCCTTTGTAATGAGCCAAGCTCCTCCTTAAATTATTCAGAGTTTCTAAAAAGAGACTAATACGCATCCACTTGTCATGTTTGAAAAAACAATCTAATTTTCATTTTTCTCCTATGCTCTATGCAGTTACTCTAAACTCTCACTTAGTCTTTTTACAATGTCAACTTTGAATATTGATTTTCTTTAATCAAACTATATTCAACCATATTAATCCAACTTTTGAAGGAAGCCTTGGCAGGAAAAATTATGATAAACTCAATTTGGAAAAAAAAAAGAATTCCTAGTGATTGCCTACACTCCCCCCCCCCCCTCGTGCGGAACAAGAGACATTTTCTTGACATCTACAGTGTAGCACTGACCTGATTCTGATGTTTTCTGTGCTTATAATAATTGTCTTTGATATTTGGAAAAAATGTGTTCAATCCATCAATGCATTTCACTATTTTTATTTTACTTTCAAACAGGGAATAGAGAAAGCTATGCACAAACTATTGCTTAGATTATACTAATCTTTATGTAAAAACTAATCATATAAATAAAAATACTATACAAGAGTGTATTTTAATCAGAAAATATTTTTCCTGATTCTATATATTTCAAGGACGACAAAATACACAAAATCTGTCACATATATGAAATTAATTTTAAAAAAGGTTGGAAAATCAAAATTCTCAGTTCGACAATAAAAAATATAGCCATAGAACAGGATTAGAGCATTATTACACCAGTATTTTCGTTTTCATTTTGCAAAGATTCCAACATATCTGCTTGAGAGTTGTGCACAAATTCGGGATTTGAATGAGTAAAATTATTTCACATTACCCTTTATGAGATTTTTGCATTAAAATGATGTAAAATACAAAATTAAATACACAGAGGATTCTTGGGAAGGCTTTGTAAATTCTGCAAAGATTTATCAATAAACATATTCTAGCTGGAAAAATAACAATTTCAGTGAAGGAATAAGGTCAAAAAATAAAATCCTTTTTATACAAGGTGAAGTGTTGCTAGCATTTGTTTCTTCAATTTCACATTTACAGTGGCTGAACTTAAATATTTTACTGAGTAAACTTGGCAACAACAGTACATTTGAAAGCTGGGCTGGTACCCACTTATTCTACAGTATAAAAATTAGTAACAGGTATGTACAAATGATGAGTAAAAACAATTAAAAATGTACATCCATTCTCTAAAAATAACTTAATCCACTATGCTCACAAGGATCATACTCGTGGGTTTTGACAGATAAATCAGGTATAACTTGGAAGGATGATTTCTAAAATTTGAGACAGCTTTGTACACTCAAAGTAAGAAACAATTAATTAACTAAGAACCTAAAACAAAAATTTTGTGCAAATGTTTGCACAAATTTGAGTACGGGTGATGATCAAATACGTCTATATATCTTTCTTTGACAGGAGTATTAGAATTCAGAAGTCTCACAAAATGAAGAAGTTCTAGAAAAGTGAATTGTCCAAAAAATTCCAGGGATTCACCACAATGCTGCGATTACTTAAAAAGTTAAAAGGTTTTAGATGATCCTAGACATTTTCAAAAGGGAGAATGAAGGAAAAATTATACTGGACGCTATGATAATGAAATGAAAGTATTCAAAGTTGGGAAATGATGTCAGAAAGTCATGTGTGGTCATTAGTTGCTATCTTGATCTCCATTTGTGATTGCAAGTAAGGATGTTCCAAAGAATGTAAAAAAGAGGTTAGTTCAGGTTTGGTCGTTTAAGACGGTCTCGGCAAAAAATTATAAAAATGCAATTGCCTCTCTTTTTGGCTGTGGTGAATTTTAGACTCAATTTGTCCTGAGGTAAAAAAAGAAAGCCAATAGAGGCATTTCAAACATGACGCTTATGACTAATCGCTATAAATTAACATGGAAAATTCACTTCTTAACTTCATCAACGTTCGACTTCTTTTCTTGTACCACTTTCTTGCTTGTTTTCAGATTTTACAGCATTTGCACTACTAACTTTTTCCCTCTAAATAAAAAGTATTTATTTTAAATAAGACGTTTTTTAAGCTATTCAATATTTTTGCGTACAGTATCTCTTGAAAATACAGTTTAGAATTTTTTTCTTTTTGCTCTTGGTTTCACAATAGAACATTTGAACAATGGCTGTTTATTGTGACACAAAGTATATACACATTTATTTACAGATAATTCAGGGGGTTTCAGCAACTTTGACACTTTCATTCTATTTTTAACCAACCCCCTCCCCCCACCTAAAAAAAAGAAGTGAGGAAAAAAATAATAATACGTAGTGTTATCATGATAATTTCTAGTTCCCTTCCGTCTTGGCAACCTGAAAATATTCCGTTTATAGATGGTGACATTTTTTGGGAGAAATTATCAAAAAGAAGTAAATAAAACAAAAAACATTGCATTCAATGAATGAAGCAAGCTGCACAGGGCCAATTTGGATCAAGGCCCAGGACAAAAATTTGTCTTCATTTATTAGGTTGTTGATTTATGTAGCACCATTTGATAATAAGCCTTGATAAATTCTTCAAAGGAAAAAATCAATGACTAAAAATACTTTAAACAATTTCAATTCTATCACATCAACTCATTATTCAAAATCATACCCTGCCTAAAAACAATAAAACTATGGACTTCTACCTAATTCAGTATAACAACCTGCTCTAAGATGAGCTAACAGCTGGAAAAACTTGCATTAAAATCAATGTGATTAAAAAATACTATTTGAAAATTATCTAAAATTTTACTGTCTTCACCTCCTTTTAAAATAACTCTCCATAATAGAGGCTCAACAGTTATTCATAATTCAACAAATTTAAAAATATACCTCTTTGATATCTCATTATTTCCTTAGATAATTTTAAAATATCCTATCATATCATTATCAATGAAAAATATTTAGTTTGCGCTTGATCTAAAACAGTAATCAACAATGGGAGTCAAGATTTGCAAATTTAACTTGACTGGGCCTTTCTTAAACCAACTTAAAAGCATTATGACCATTTAAAGCTTGAAAAATTGAAACTTGAGTTACAATCTCAACAGACAAACCTCTGAAAATATTCATTTTTCAGGGAGAAAATGATTGTATGTAATATAGTTAAATAATGTGCTAAGAAACAAATCATTCCACAACTTCATTCAAGCAGTTGATTTTGATCACCTCTTTCAGTTTCTTGTTGGAGTTTCTAGACTTTATTTTACTGTATTGAAAAAAGGAGTAATATATCTCATGGCTCGAGACTATTTAATCTATAATTTTGGATCATAAAGTGGGATACTTCCTGAGAGAAGTTCCGTAAGTAACGGTTATAGCAATTAATGAATAACAACTGGCAGTCCTGAGTACGGTTTATATGATGTTGCCACTCCTTAAAGAAAAATTGGAATCCCTCAAGATGAGTGTAGATGAGTTCCAGTATTCCTCATAACTGGCAACATTGAGTTAATCTTGACAAGAAAAAAAAAGAGACATGGAATATTCTCATTTGAGAACGGGTTTGAGAGTTTACTGGTAGGATATCTGCCTGAACATGGATGAGATTTCTTCCATCGTTTTGTTTTTTGTTTCTGGGACCTTTTTCCAAACAAAGAGGACAAACAAACCCAATAGGACTGCAAAAATCACAAACACATTGCTTCCCAGAGCCTCCTGTAAAAGACAACAAAAAATGTGAGTTTTTTTTTTAAGGCTTGAAATGTGGTCAAGTACATCATACTCTGACATTACATCACTATATATGATGTACCTGGAAAGGAATCTCAAAGCTGGAAAACTCAGAATTTAGTTATTGGTACCACTGTATAAACGCTATATCAGTGTTACATCACAGACGAGCAATACATATCAATTAGTGCTCTTTTGTGGCATTTAAAAAAGGTTTACAGCTCAAGAAATGTTACTTACAAGGGGAGCTTCCCAAGTGTAACCGGAATTTTGAGTTGAAATTTCGCATGAAGATACTAGAGATGATTTGAGGGATGCCGTATTTTTTCGTTTTTTCGAATGGGGTCCGGAAAGCCCTCAAAAAAAGGGCTAAAGATGCGGAAAAAACGCGTGCGCTAGCGGCACAAGGTAAACATAGGTGATAGAGGCACTGTATCCTTATCAGTACCGCATGGCCAAACGGTAGCGCGCTCGCCTCGCATGCGGGAGGTTCTAGGATCGGATTCTGATTACAATTCGTAATTTTATTTTACTTTATGCTTGTTTATTTTTCACTTACTTTATTTTGCACCATTCGCTCCGCGAACCGACTTACGAGGTAGAGCACGTAGTGACTGAAGATTTTTTACATATGCTGATAAAAACTCAAAGTTTCTCTTGGATTGATACGTTATATATAATTGAAAAAACAAAACGCTCTAAAACTCACCAAATTTCGTTGCCAAGCTGAATTTCCGGAGTATCAGTCAGATACAGATACAGATTTGACTGATACTCCGGAAATTCAGCTTGGCAACGAAATTTGGTGAGTTTTAGAGTGTTTTGTTTTTTCAATTATGTATAACGTTTCAATGCAAGAGAAACTTCGAGTTTTTATCAGCATATGTAAAAAATCTTCAGTCACTACGTGTTCTACCTCGTAAGTCGGTTTGCGGAGCGAATGGTGCAAAATAAAGTAAGTGAAAAATAAACAAGCATAAAGTAAAATAAAATTACGAATTGTAATCAGGATCCGATCCTAGGACCTCCCGCATGCGAGGCGAGCGCGCTACCGTTTGGCCATGCGGTACTGATAAGGATACAGTGCCTCTATCACCTATGTTTACCTTGTGCCGCTAGCGCACGCGTTTTTCCGCATCTTTGGCCCTTTTTTTGAGGGCTTTCCGGGCCCCATTCGAAAAAACGAAAAAATACGGCATCCCTCAAATCATCTCTAGTATCTTCATGCGAAATTTCAACTCGAAATTCCGGTTACACTTGGGAAGCTCCCCTTGTTAGAGAGAAAGCGTTAAAAACTTGCTGGACCATGTTCTGCTGACTATGCAGTTACTTCAATCGCAAAGTTTTCCTTTTTTGCTCTTGGCACAAAAATAGACGAAACTAATTGAAACCTGTTCTTTCAGACGGTAGAGAAAGTTTTTCAATAAAAGACAAAATACCTACTGATTTTTCCACCCAATTGGCCAAAAACTGCTCTCTTGAAAAATTAGTCTTCAGAAACTCAGTACGTTGCTTCTCCTCAAGATAATCACAATACTTAATAGAATAAATTTTAAACAAAAGGCGAGAAGTGTAATGTCGGGGGGCAGTAAAATCATCAGGACCTCCGAGTAAGGCAGCAGATTACTAGATCCTTATTTTTAATAAAAATTGAATCAATTTTTTAAGAGGTCCAAGCTCCAAAATTTTTGATTTTGATTCATGAGCTAATGACAGTCGCTGAGGAGTAGGCGTATCTTGCACTGAAAGGACAGGTTTGATATCTGTTTTTAAACGTCCTAAATAAGCATTGTGTGTTAAAGTGTCACCCTGGCAAGAAACGCACCAGTATATGAACATCAGCAAGAATATCTGCCCAAGACTAGCGCTGAAGTTTAGCTAGTATTTTTTTGCCAAGCACCGCTTTTGTAAGGGTGGAAATTTCGGAAGTCGAAGTAAAATATCATACCTGGAGAGGGAGGAATCCAAGGCCAACCATGAAATTGGCTGTCCAGTTGACAGCAACAGCAATACTTGCAGCAGTCGGGCGGGCAGACTGATTGAACAGTTCAGAGACAAGGAACCAAGGTATAGATCCGGGTCCGACAGCAAACATGACAACGAACACAATGACCAGCAATATGCAGAAGTATGAGATGACTATCGATTTTTCCTGGAAATAAGTGGAAAAAGATGTTAGTTCAAACTGAATTCTAGACAAGCATTGATATGTATATCCATCTCAAATTATGACCGCTATACGAGAGAAGAAAACAATTTCCTGGAGTCATATTCTAGGAAATCTGCACAATTTTAATTTTCTTCATTGTTGTCATCAAAACACCTCTCTTGGTTCTGCACAATACTACTCATTATTCATCATGCCCAAAAATGTAATTTTCAGCTCCAAATTCCTGAACATTGACAAGTAGAAAGTTTGATTTGAAAAGCTTATCGTGGTCAGGGGGTTGTACAGAACATAGATCAAATAATAACAACAAATTTTACCAGACATGGAATTTTTTGGTTTTCAGTGAAAGGTCCTTCAAGAAAATTTCTGTTTCACAGCTTTATTACCATGAAAGAATGGTATGGAAAGTCAAATTTTGGAAACAATTAGAGTAAATTATGACTCCCAAAGTTCATTCACTGGACAATTTTTAGTATTTTGCTATCTTCTTAAGGTCATGGAAATAAAATGAACATAATTTATATATTGAGTATCTGATAGGAAATGAAAATTCCATCAGTTCATTCCAGTGCCTACGAGCGCCAGTATGTTAAGTTGGCTGTGAATGGACTCGATGAAAAGAATGATTCCTGGTCATAGAGTAAGAGAGAGGAGAGTCAAAAATGAACTTACTACAAAAGCAAGGCAGATGGTCAAGAGAACAGTGTCAACAAACATTCCAGAGAACCCAATCAGGAGGAGTGTTTTTCGTCCAGCTTTCTCTACAAGGACCAATGAAATTAAGGTCATGAGCACATTCATTGAACCCATGCCTAACGTACTGTATTGGGCTGCCTCATCTGAGAGCTGAGCCATCTTGAAGATCTTCGTCGAAAAGAACATAACCTGTAAAAAAAAGAAAGAAACAGGTTCAGTGAAGGGTGACCTTGCATACTGCATCTTTTACTGAATTATTGAACTGAGGACAGTTACTGCTGGATGCATGGATTTTTTTTTTGCAAAAAAAAACAACTTAGTATTTCTGAGAAAAAAAACAAGCTTTTATTTTAAATCTAGTAAGAAACTAGTATAGCAGGGTGTCTAGCGACCTGGAAAAGCAGGAAATGTCAGGGAATTTTTTTTGTGTAGAGAAATCAGGGAGAACGTTCCGGAATCCGGAAAAATTTGGAATGTTAGGGGATTATATTTTGCAAGCTATTTTGGTGTCAGAGAAACGTCAGGGAAATAGAAAAACACGGATTTTTTTGTTGAAAATTTATGATGAATCAAGTTTCAGCAAAATAGAATGGAGAGGGTACTGCCCAGTTACCCCACCGCCCAGTTACCCAACCTCACCTTAAACGTATCTTGTATAAGTTTAAGCACCATATATTTTGCTATATTTATTACATTATATCCTTAAAACATGAACACATTTTTACTTACATCTAATCAGTTCAATCGTGTCAAAAAATTGGGAATGTTTTTCCTTTTAGGCAGGGAAATGTCAAAGAATTACTTTTTCCGTCAGTCAGGGAATTTTAAAGTTTCCCCCGGTTTTTTGGCCGCATTTGTTAGGGAAATGTTAGGGAAATATCAAGGAAATGTCGGGGAATTTCATTTTTGAAAATTGCTAGACATCTTGTACTTACGAGAAAAAAAAAAGCTTTTATTTTAAATCTAGTAAGAGACTAGCAAGGTCAATTTAAACTCACAGCATTGATTCCTGATAGCTGCTGACACACCATCACCATAGCTGCAATGAAAAGGGGGATGCGGAGTTGAGCGTTCGATAGCATTTCTCTGATTGTTACTTGTGGGGTGAGCTTCATGGCTTCGTACTCGTTTTTCATCTCTTCCATCTCATCATGTACTTCGATTGTTCCCCGGAACCACGACAGATCTGTGAAACGAAAGGAACATAATTATTGCTGATGTTTCTGACAATTATTGCTGATTTTTCTCACAATCAGATTCAATCACTTGCAAACAACGGGAACCTTGCGTTAGGATTTTCCCAGGGAAACTCAATTTTCAAGGAAGAAATGCTGCGCATGTTATGGGTGTTTCTTGAGTTCAAAAATGTTCAAAATTTTCCTCCAATATACTTAGTAAGGGGTTTCCAGAAAAAAAAGTTGTCAAGGGAAAACTCGATTTTCAAGACTTCTTTAAGACATGTTCTTCTTACGTGTTTTGAATCTGTTTTTTTATTTACACTGAATTCAGAAATGATAACCGTTTTCCTTTGTTTCATCAGGATTTTCTGAAAATTTAATTGTTGAGAAAGGGGTTTTTCTGGGCAAACCTCTCTTTTTTTTACAGGAAAATTGATAGTCTAGACAATCCTGATGAAAAAGAGAAATGTTTTAGTTATATGTGAACTTGGTGCAAAAAAACACATTGGCAATACGCAGAACATATGAAGCGCTTTTTTTCTTCAAAAATCGATTTTTTTCTGGAAAACCCTAATTATACGGGAATATTGATTTCCCAGAAAATCCTGGTGAAACGGAGCCAAGTCATCATGTTTAGGCTCAGCACAAAGAAACACATCAGGAACATCTATCACATGTTGAACGTTTAGTTCTTGAAAATTCAGTTTTCCTTGGAAAACCCTCTTTCTCACGGGAAAATTAGATTTTCCGAAAAATTCTGATGAAATAGTGAAAAATAGGAGGTATTTCTCGACTCAGCGTATAAAAGGTGTGAGTCACGTATCACATGTGTCGAGTTTTTTTTTTCTTTTGGACGCATGCAGATATGTAATACATCCATCACCTTCTTGAGATTTAGTTTGTCAGTGTAGTAGCCATTTGAATCTCACCTTTTTGAGCTTGAAGTTCTAGACCGTGGTGTAAGAGTGTGTGCCGCGGGGATTCTGGGCAGAAAGGAAGCGTGATGACTTGGAAGATGGAGGGGAGCAGAGCTATTTCGAACAAGAGTGGCCAGTTTTCAGCTGTTCCGAACACTGATTTTAGTCCAAATATCTGAGAGATGAGGATCGAGATTGTGACAACTAACTGATACACGGTTCCGACCTGAAACAAATAGAAAAGCAATATAGTAAAATCTATGGAATAAACAAAACTTAACTTCTCTCATACTTCAGATCTTGTGTTTTTTTGTTTTCTCCCTTAGAAAGTTTCGTTTTTCTCCGAACAATACATTCAAGTTGCATGCGAGTGTTCTGACTAAGAATCCAGAACGATGGTGAAACTGCAGAAACGTGTATCTTCGTTTGCAGCGTCGCAGACTTCCCGTCATGCTTAATTTTGTACAGGGAAAACTACCTAACGTCATTTCTTAAAAACTTCGGTGATGTTTATTCTCTGTAAGCTGAATATTCTGAACATCTCAAGCCATGATGTTCGTTGGGTCTCCTTGTAAAAACAAAGTATGGGCGAAGATTTTGAAACACTGCAATCGAGATATGCATTTTTGCATTTCCCCCCTAAAATATCAAATTTTGAGACAAATAATGATTTATTCTTCTTGAAATTTTTTAATACTTCAGATCACACTGCGAAGAAAATTCTCTGGAAAATTGGACGGAAAATTCACGCAAATTCTCCAGAAAATTTTCATACGGCGTTCTTCCTTAGCACTGCAGTGCAGCACCCGGGCCCTCGGTCTTCTGGGACGGTTTTTTCCCATTATTATTTTCATTCTTTCCCTCTGTGAGGGGTCTAATCAACCCCGAGGGTATAGTGATATCCGAGGTTTCGTTACCTCGAGTACGAGCGCCTTCAAATTTGCAGAGTAGACAATGTGAGCTCCCGTAGGTCGAAATGGTGGTATCCTGCTAAGGCGCTCTCTTCGATATATGGACCGAGTTCATCAGAAAGGAATCACTCCACATTGAGTTAAATCTGAGAAAAAGAGGTGTGAAGTTTTTGTCTATTTTTGGACTTTCAGTTTTTGGCGGGAGAAAATACCTACACGACTAGTGGAACTCAAAAACATTCTTAGCTCAATTTTTTCGTAAATGTGGGTTGGTTTCTTTCTGATAAATGATCGATCCTTTTAAAGATCGAAAGATTTCAGATTTACCGAGGGCGATTGGTCCGCGTCGATGAAGTAGGACCAGTCATGATGAAGCTGATGATGGAGTGTGCATGAAGCTTCGAAACAATTGTTCTTTTTGTTAAAAAGTGATGTGAGTTTACATTTTTATAATTGACGACTGAGTGTACCTATTGTTTCAAAGTTCACTGTTGAGAGAGATCTATGTTCATCCAAAATAAGCACTGCAAGTTTAGAAAATTGAATATTTGTCTTACCGCTCCACGAAGATTCATTGGCGATATTTCACTCAAGTACATTGGAACGAGACCGGCATTCAAACCACAGTTAACACCGATGAAAAATCGCCCGGCGATAAACATTTCATAGGATCCAAAATTTTTCGAATGTTCTGAAATCAAAAGTTCGGAATATGAATCAGTGTTGCGAGTTAAATCAGTTTTCAAAATTCCATGAGTTCCCTTGCGACTCATAGGAAAAATTTCCTGACCACTGGCGCTGAATGCTCTGACTTCTTCCTGATTTCTTACAAAAAAAGAGAGGAAAATTCCCTGACTTTTCCAGGTTTTTCCTGACCTTTGCAACCCCGATACAGCGTTTTTCCTCGGCAAGGCAGCCAAGTTTTCATTCCCAAACCACCAATAGGCTCGAGGTTGGGATTTCTTTGGGAGATTTCTGTCGGTGGAAAGTAGAGTACCTGTATAGGGAGAGTACAGATATAAAGAAACTAGGGGGCTACGCCCCCTGGCCGCTACGCGGCCCAACCCCCTGAAGGCGCTCCGCGCCATCAATGGGCCGCTTCGCGGCCCTATTAGCGGCTCTGGTGCTTGCACTAGAGCTGCTATTCCGGACGGTCCCAGCTGGGGAGTATCAACGGACCATGTTACATTGGAGAGACCGCGTGTTGGTTGATGGGAATCGGCGCCATTTTCTGCTGTTTAGGGGGGACTGATTTTATTTAAATTGATATCTTTTTCCTGTGAGCGAATGCTATGTTGTGTAGTGTATTTTTGGAATCATGGTGATACTGTCAATAATTCAAAACGGGTCTGTGCTTTAATCTCGCACTGGAAAAAATGTACTTTACGTTTAAAATTTGAAAATTCAAATCTATAAATTTTCGCGCTTTTTTCGAAGAATGCCGTGGTTGGAGCTTCCTAGTCATACTACTCGACACCAGCTGATAGCAAACAAAGGTTACCAAGGAAACCGTAAACGCGTAACAACTACCTACCGTCGCCAGAGCTGCTTTCCGACGCGAATGCGTTGGAGCTTCCTGCTTGTTTTTACTCTCCTATCGGTGTTAGTTTTATTTTTCCCCTAAAAAATTACGATATGAGGTATACTTTACTTTCAGAATGAAATAATTTTTGGTTTTGATGAATAAAGAAACAAAAATTTTTTTTGAAGTCTAAAGGACGCGTTTTGGAATGACTGCTTGATGAAATATTGCAGTAAAACATCGAACAATTTTAATCAGGTACTAATTAAGTATATCGGGAGACGGGGATCGAACCCACATCTTGATTTAGGTGGACGCTTTTGACGACTCGGCCACCGCTCGACTTGAGGAAGTTAGGGTGAATCTTGTGTGGATAAGTGTAGAGCTGATGCGCAGGCTACACAGCTACTGCGCAACCTCCTCGACCACTGCGCATCCTCCCGCGCATAGCGGTAGCAGTCTCGGAGCATTCTGAAAATTCACTCACTTTTATAACGTGATTGTAAAAAAACCTGGGTCCTCTTTCCAAAATCTGAAAAGAGCGGGCTCATCTAGGGCCAATTACCCGTCGATTACCCCAAAAAACTTGGAAATCGGCCCGGTAGAACGCTCAAACGAACTATGACAAAAAATATAAATTTACATTGTTTAAATGGGAGAATTCGCAACTTTACCATTTAATATAAAAAAACCTGGGCCATATTTCGAAAATCTGAAAAGAGTTGGCTTATCTAGAGACAATTGCCCGTCGATAGCCGCAAAAATCATAAAAATCGGCTTGGTAGAACGCTGGAACTAAGCGTCACCAGTTTCGCAAAATTAGGAGGTCTCGGAGCTTATAGTATAGATAGGTTTCTTAAAAAAAGTTCTCGCNTGACAAAAAATATAAATTTACATTGTTTAAATGGGAGAATTCGCAACTTTACCATTTAATATAAAAAAACCTGGGCCATATTTCGAAAATCTGAAAAGAGTTGGCTTATCTAGAGACAATTGCCCGTCGATAGCCGCAAAAATCATAAAAATCGGCTTGGTAGAACGCTGGAACTAAGCGTCACCAGTTTCGCAAAATTAGGAGGTCTCGGAGCTTATAGTATAGATATAGTATAGATATGGAGCTCTCAGGGTCCAAAAGGGCAACCAACCTTCTGACAAAAAATGTCATTGTCTATCTTAAGATTCCAATACCAAACGAAGATGCCAAGAATGTTCATAAATGGGCGTTCCTCCGCAAAAATGAGTAAAATGCAAGAACTAACAATAAGTCGAATGCGTTTCATATCGACTGCATTGTGTTTGGCGCAATGCGTGAAGTATTTACACAGTCTTGTTGTAGGCGCTTATATGCGCTTCACATAGACAGCACTGTGTTTAGCGCAATGCGTGAAGTATTCATACAGTCTTGTAGGCGCTAATATGCGCATCACGACGACCGTAAAAGCTCCGTGACTTAATCTCGAAATTACCAACGTGTCCGTACTCTCCGTATGTAGGCACTCTAGTACTGGGGGGTAATTTTAAGCACTCGATTAATAGTCTGCGAATGGAGGCAACATTTATTTAAGGAGGGCACTATTCAAAATACCCTAAAATTAATCAAATCTCCCCCACAAGAACTAAAAGATATTTAAAATGCCCGTGCCATCACCTGCCATTTCCTATCGATGTTTCTGATACAGTTCCGTGAGAGGTATACTCAGAGAATTATTTTTCCCGTCTGTCAGAGAATCGTAAATTTTTCCCCGGTTTTTTGGCCGTTTTTGTCAGGGAAATCAGGGAAACGTCAGGGAATTTTTTTTTGTTGAAAATTGCTAGACACCCTGACTCTCCTTATAAAGTCACTCTGGATGAAAAGGGACTTGATGCGGCGCAAAGTATATGTACTACCGTGCTAAGAAAGAACGTCGTATGAGCCATCAGACGTTGCAAAATTATCTTTGATAAAACACGGATTCCCTGGAAAACTTATGAATATTTTTCTTCCCATTTTTCAGAGAATTTGTTCGTTTTTTGATCTAAAGTTCCTGAAAATTTCAAGGAAAAATAGTCACAATTTTCCTCCAAAATGAACATTTTATCAAAGGAAATTTGGCAACTCTCGAATGTTCATGCGGCGTTTATCCCTCGGACGGCAGAGTAGCGGATCGAGTCAAATAGAGGGGTCGGACATGGAATGTTTTACTAAAACTGCAAATTTTGGTGTTCATTTCGTCACAGTTTACATTTCAAGGCGTGCTCCTAGAGGACAATTTCACGAGAAATCCAATGTAACCACTTCTAGAACCTCGAAGTTTTGTATAAACGGCGTTATTGGCGTTTAAAGTTTCCACATTTTGTCTGACCTCCCCAACTGACGCGATCCACTGTGCACGCACAGTGGATCGAATCAATAAGAGAGATCGGACAAAATTTGGAAACTTAAAACGTTCATAATTCCGTTTATGCAAAGTTTGAGGTTCAGAAAGTGGTTTTATTGGTTTTCCCGTGAAATTCTCTTCTAGAAGAACCCCTTGAAATTGAAAATGTGACGAAATGAACACCAAAATTTGCAGTTTTAGTAAAACATTCCATGTCCGACCCATCTATTTGACTCGATCTGCTATTGTGCGCCGTATCAAGTCCCTTTGCGTCTAGAGTGACTTTACATAAGGCGAATAATAAATAAACGACGAAATAAACATTAAAACTTGCAGTTTAAGTAAAACATTTTATGTCCGACTTCACTGATTGACTCGATCCACTGTGCGGCGGTCGGGGTGCGGACAAGGGACTTACGTTGGAGGAGGCATCCGGCGAGGACGAGGATGTTGTTGTAGAGGAGTCCGTACTTCCTGCCGAGCTTCTCGGCGATGAGACCGGTGAGGGATCCGCCGATCATGCCGCCCACGCAGAAGATGGACACCGCGATCGACCAGATCATCGTCACTTGCGAGGGCTCCGGCTTGTACTCGGCTCCCGCCCCCGATCGGTTCCGCAGCACGTCCGAGATCCATGACTCGATCAACTGAAACCATCCAAAACCCCATTCAAAATCACTAAACTATCATCCGCACTTGGAAAAAAAAGTTCGGTTAGAAACATAGAGTACATAATGAGCCGTAATAAAGATGTTGCATGTGTGAGGATTTGCAATTTGACCATTGATTCATATGTAAAAGTTCGCGAGAAACACGATGGTGCCACTGGTTTTCTCTGAAATCATATCCCAAGCTCAAAAAAAGCTCTCAAAGTGAGGCCAAAATGGAGGGGATATCCCACCCTACCCTGAGAGTCCACCTCTACATCAAAACAAACTCTCCATACTTAGATAGGGAGTAAATACATTAGCAGGGTTGCCACTTTATTTCGGGACTCCAAAACTGAAAACACGGCAACCCTGCTAATGTATTTTGCATGGAGAGTTTTTTTTTATGTAGAAGTGGACTCTCAGGGTAGGGTGGGATATCCCCTCCATTTTGGCCTCATTTTGAGAGCTTTTTTTGAGCTTGGGAGATGATTTCAGAGTAAACCAGTGGCACCATCGTGTTTCTCGCGAACTTTTACATAAGAATCAATGGTCAAATCGCAAATCCCTCACACGTGCGACATCTCCATTTGATGGGAGAGTTGGCGCCATGTTCTGGTCGACGAGTTTCGAGCCCGGTTTGCGCCGAGCTTCGGTCACTTGCAACTACTGGAGAGTGCGTGCTGTGAAGTCAATGAACTCAGTTGGGTTTGGTTAGGTTAAGCAAATAAACTAACTTCCCGGCAAAGCGGAGCGTATCGCTGAGATCTGAAGGCGCCCCCGAGTCGTGGTCGTGCTTTTGAAACCTTGACTGTGTCTACGACTTCGAAATTTGGCCGGGGAATTGTGATTTTTTTGTTTTTTAGATGTGCACTCATATGATAGATAAAATATTTTTGCAAAGTAGCTCTTTAATAACCATTTATAATGGGATTCAATTTTGCAATAAGGAATCACTATGTCTCTGGCTCTTCCACAAAAGCAACTTTCTGCATAGGAAAACCAATGGCATAGATGTTGTTTCTGAGATAAGTCAGAAATAGTGCTTCATTATTGCAAAATGTAGTCCTATTATGATATTTTAAATTACTTAGGCACTATATAGCGGAAATTTTCGCCAGATTCCGGTCTCTGTCGTCAGTGCCTGCTAATAATGAATAACTTTAAAAATCGAAAGAAAGATCGGCTCATTCTTAATAACAAGAAGTATGTCATTTTTGGAAATAAATATTTCTAGACCAAGAGAAACATTTGTTGATATTTTTAATGATTTATAACCATTTGCGGTTATCAATATCCTATTTCCAACTAATAAATCTCATCTGCAGAACAGTTCTTTCTCACTTTCGCTGGTTCAGGGGAACTTTTTTGCTCATTGCGTCACTCCCGCATTTGGGGATTCAAGTTTTCCTGGACTCCGGGAGAATCAAAAGCTGGGGTCGCAAAACGGTGACTCCTCAGAGAGCGAGTGTTCACCATGCAGCAGATCGATTGTTGAATCGGTATTGAATGACATTGATCGATATATATTATTGTCAAGATAGGAAGTTATCGATCGGATTCATTCGGTAATGATTCAACAATCGACCCGCAGTTGTACAGATGAGTGCGTTTTCCTCCCACAGTTTCCTGGGAAAGTATATTTTAGCAAGCCGGCTGATTATTGAAATGTATATACAAAGCTATAAGAATACATAGGAAGTATAGAGCGATCCCATCGGTTGAATCGGGTGGTTTTTATAGGCTAAGGGGGAAACGATGGACTAACTGTAGAGTCTCTTGTTGGTTGCTGTTAGTTAGTGCATTAGGTACTTCGTCACCTTCCGGCCAAAATATCACAAGCGCCATGCGATGTTTAAAAATTTCCGCCGCCATTTCATTCTTTTACAGAGAAATTGTTGGTTGAATCTGTTGGAAAATTTCACAAAATTTTATCGGCAGCACAAAGTAAATTCAGTAAAATGTTCAGACAGATTCGTTGAAAAATTTCTCCGGAGAAAAAAAAATGGCGGCGGAAAATTTTAAACATCGCATGGCGCTTGTAATACTTTGGCTGGAAGGTGACGACTTATCTCCTTTGTCCGTTCGACAGCTTCCGTCGATAGGATCCCTCCATATCCCTTTTGTCTTTCTTTGTCTATAGCTTTGTCTAATATAATTTCCATAATCACTCCGGAAGAGTTTCCGGGGACTTTTCGGAGAAAATCAATTTGAAAAAAAGGTGATTTTTTATGATTACAGTTTCATGAAAGGCACAGAAAAATTTGAATTTCGAGAATTTTTTGAAGAAAAGTAGCAACATGGAGGGGAAATGTTGGCGCCGCGCAAATGAGTGAGGAGACAGGATTTATAGGACCCCCGAGGTTCGTCTTATTATGCTCATCCTGTCCACGGAGGCCCGGATGTCCGGTTATTATTTCGGCTGGTCCCGCGGTCCTCCAAGTTGCCAAACTGCACGGAAAACTTTGATGCTGGTGAAAAGAAGAATTATCAATCGATTTAAAATTCTCTCATAATTGGTCAGTTGCGCTGGTTACAGAATTGTGTAATGATGCTAATTCTTGTAGATCAGTTAAAAAAAATGAGATCGGTTCAAACAGCAATTTTCTACATTGAATATTAACCGAGATACCGCGCCTTGAAAAACTCGATTTATGACGTCATCAACCAAGGTTGTGCATAATATGTATTGTACTACCGCGGTGGATGACGTCATAAATCGAGTTTTTCAAGGCGCGATATCTCGGTTAATATTCAACGTAGAAAGTTGCTGTTTGGGCGGATCTTTTTATTTTTAGGTGATCTACAAGAATCAAGCATCAAAACACGATTCTGTGACCAGCGCAAGTGACCCATTCATGGATAAAATGCACGGTCCTGTCACATAAAACCATTTTTAAAAAAATAATCGTTGAATATTCACTTACGGATTGCGGGGCGTTGACTACTCCTGTGTTGTAACCGTGTTGAAAGGCGGAGCCAAGCGCCGCTGCAGATATCGCGAATAGCAACCGCCCGTTCGCGCTCTGAAACAAGAAGCAATATACAAGCATTAAATCTCTGAAAAGTTCAGAATGCAACATTCGCGTATGGAAAAGGGCATGTGGACATTGATCGCAACCTGCGGATGCCCAAGGTAAGGGAACCATACTGCCGTGCTGAGGAAGAACGCCGTATGAACATCCGAGAGTTGCCAAATTTCCTCCAATAAAATATTTATTTCTGAGTGATGTTATACATATTTTTCCTTGACATTTTCAGGAACTTTAGATGAAATTTCCAACGGAATTGTCTGAAAAAATTGAGGAAAAATATTCATAAGTTTACCGGGAAATTCGTGTTTTATAGAAAGAAAATTTTGCAACGCCTGATGGTTCACACGGCGTTTTTCCTTGGCACGGTAGCATAGCGTCCTCGCAAGAATGAAAAATTTACAATTATACTAATTATCCGCCAGCGGCTACCCTAGAAAGTTGGCAACATTGGATTTTACCCATTTAAATACATCGATGATTCAGTGCGCAAAATGCGAATCTGCATTGCAATTTTAAAAAATCTCTGACTTTGTTTCGTTTTCCACGATGAAAACTAATCGGAAATGCTACCCTGCGAGTGTGTGAGATTTATTCATTATAGGATGAGCACACGAAATTCACCCAAAAAAAAAAAAAAAAAAAAAAAAACAAAAAAAAAATTCGACAGAGACTGTCGCACGGTGGATCGAGTCAATAGGAGAGGTCGGACAAAATTTGGAAACTTTAAATGCTTATAACTCCGTTTATACGACACTTTGAGGTTCTGAAAGTGGTTTTATTGGTTATCTCGTAAAGTTATCTACAACGAACACCCCTAGAAATTTAAAATGTGACGAAATAAACATCAAAATTTGCAATTTTAGTTAAAAATTTCATGTCCGACCTCTCTAATTGACTCGATCCACTGTGTGTCGGTTAGCCTCTCTTCGAAAAAATAAAACAAGCGCGGAAACTTAAGACGTCGCCATCTGAGATACGCATTTTCTGATTTTAGAAATCGCCGCGACGGAGCGAGCCGCCGAAAACAGGTTTCCACCGCTAACCTCCGAAAACTTTTGATGACTTTAAAAAGAAACTCCGAAAACTTTTGATGACTTTAAAAAGAAAAGGTCATAACTTTTTATTTCTGTGATTTGCGGTCATAGGTCTTGGCCCATGTTGGCCCTCCCTCATATCCGCCCGTAGTCATCGATAAGAGAAGCACTTGATATTTATCGAGATCGCTGCTTCTCCTAGAATCAATTATTCCTGATGGATATGAGGGCAGCAGGTCCGTCCATGGGGATATGGCGTCAGTTACTCATAATCAGGGCGCTCAATTAATTTCGGAATGGTTCCTTTCAGGCAGCATCGATACATCCAGTTGCGGTGGGTTGATACATGCAATGCAAGGAACAAAAAGGCACCACCATACCGTGGGTCGAAATATGCACCCTAACGCTTGGCTCCTTTCGTATTTAAATATGCGAGCTCATTCGGTATATTTTCGGCAACTATCAATGGACAGCCTCAAGCTCAATTAGACGTATTTCTACCAAACGGAACTATGTGCATTATGACGTGAGCCTTGTTAGGCATATATTCTTATGGGTCTCAGGGCTCATGTCTTAATTCACATAGTTCCGTTCGGTAGAAATACGTCCAGTTACAGGTGACGCAATGGAAGGTTTGCGAATTTCATTCAGTTCAGTCCCTCTTGAAAAGGTACTACGGCTCTGGTTCATTGTAATTGAAATTCAACGTCCTGGTTTTTTTTACTAATCGCGTTAGCCGAAACAAAAGACATTCGGCCGAGATTGAAAAGGAAGATCGCATTGTCTTAAAAGGGACTCTAATTAATTTGCGATACCATCTGCTTTTTTTGCCCTCCTCGATTCGTTCGACTATGTTCTAGACGTATTCTACGACTGGTTCATTCATCCCTTAGCTCGATTAAGCGCGGGGTATTGTGAAAACTAAGAGGTGCCAGCGTCCATTATAAGTATACATAATCTCTTGTCATTCTCCGTTGTCGCTTTGTTATCGCTGCCCATGTTCTTTCTTTTCTTTAAAGAGAGAGAAAGAGGGGTGCGTTCTACCCTCTAAAGGCATCAGCATAGCAGACTGCCTCAGTTCTTTGCTGTTCTTTCTACGATAAGAGGAATAGCGATGTTTTGGTGGTAAGTAACACTTTGCGGAGAAAATAGTAATTTCAGTGATAGTGCGAAAAAACACTAAGAAAGGGCCCGACCTGTATACAACGAGGTGGTGAAATGGTGCTGGGTCCATAACATTTCTCGGGGGGGAAAAAAACCCAAAAATTTCAATCAGAGTCAAAAGTTTTGAGTTCTAATGAGTACCGGTAGCAGACTGAGAAGGGGGGGGGGGGGGGGGTATTCAGCTCAGGCAGCTTGCGTTGGAATATTAAGTTGAGGTCACGCCAGGGGATCTATAACGTTTTGAGTCTTTTCAGACCTCATCAGTAGATCTCACTCGTCAGTGAACATATACTTTGTGAATAAAAAATGTTACATCAGCTGACGAACGCAAGGATATTGACAAAACGTCTGGATACAACTATCCGTACTTAATGGATATGCGTGTTGCTTGAAAAAAAATTGAAGGAGCTCCTGATTTTTCGTCAAAACAGCAATTTCCGCTAACGTCTTGGCAAGTCACTAGTTTCAGCAACAGTAACGGCAATTTCAGGCTCTGTTCGTGACCAGAAAGCACAAGCTTTGCCAATTTTCTATCGTGTTTGACGGTAAAGTATAGTCATTCAATTGGAAAAAAATAGCCACAAAAAAACCTCACGTATATTCACTTTTCTCCCAAAAAACTGGTTTCCACCTATCGCGTCGTGCCTGGAAACACCACGATTCAGGGATGAAAAAATCGTGTCGGAAAATCGAGATTTTACTGTGAGTCATTTCAAAAAAACTCAATTCATTTTTACCTTGAAAAGGGGAATACAATTGGACTGAGTTAAGCAGAAAGGAACCAACCCACATTTTGGAAAAAATTGAGTTATGAGTGGTTTTGAACTCAACCACTGCTCTACTATCTTTCACCAAAAATTCAAAGTTTTTGTTGGAGCAAATTTTGTAGAAATTGAACTTGAAGTTTATCTTTTACATTGAGTCTTATGCAGGAGCCAAACTTTAAACCTCTTTTTCTCGGTTCGATCCCGATGTGGCTTGGTTCCTTTCTGTTTAACTCCGTCCAATTTCATTTCAATTCCTCAATTTTAAGCTCAGGACAGATGGACACTTTTAATTGGCGTTTAGTCAAACCTACCCGTATTGACCTTCAAACTGTGCACTTTCATAAATTCGGCATGCTTTGACTTTGTTGGGCCTTTTTTAAGTCAAAATGTACACGAACAACTGCTCCGAGGAAAATAAAGTTTAATTTTAAATTTGGAGTTTTTTGGCAATGAGGCCCTTACTTCCCCTGGACGATCACAAAATTATCAGTGGCATAGCGTACTTTGCGATGGATTGATTGATCTGCCATTTGGACTGCATTTTGCGATTTGGAACTATACATTCTGGCTCTTCTGGAAAAAACACTTATGAGCATAAGGAAACTAATGGCACATACGTCGTTTTCAAACCGGGATAGAATTTATAGTTCTCAATTGCAAAATGTAGTCCATTTAAACCTACGGAAAAGGATCGATAGACACGGTGTTCGCAAGGGACACCTTAATATTCGATTCTTAATCATAGCTTCAAATGGGGGAAATATCGATAAATCGATTATTCACGCTTCGCCGCACTGAAAATTATACATTATATTTTTGATAGTTTAAGTAAAAAGTTAGAGAGAAAAATCTGAACAGATGAACTCATATTTGGGTATACCTAATCGTATATAATGCCGAAAACCAGATGAAATATGGGGATTTGCGTTACACACAAGGCGTTCAAATAGTTTCAGTGGATTTTGCCCTGCCACTCGGTTCTTTTTTCTGCGTGCGTCAAAGCTAGAGAATAATTAAAAATGTATTGTTTTATGGAAACAGACTTTCAGGATGCCCCCACGGATCCTCGGCGCTATCACTTTTTCAGGACTCATAATCAACTGTTCATTGTCCTACTGCGGCAGTACCGAACTGTGTCAAGATCGTGGTGCTGTACTTCCTCGTTTGAGACCTTCCAAATTTTTTTATTACAAATGAAGTCAGTTATACCACGGGCTGATTGTTGAAATTTATGGACAAAAGGGTAGACAAAAAGACATGAGGAGTCCCATTGGTTGAAATGGGTGGTTCCTATAGACTAAGAGAAAACATAATCGACTGACTAAAGGTCTCTCGTGGGTTACTATTTCTATACTACCTACCTCCTTTGTCCGAAACCACCCGCTTCCACCGATAGAATCCCTTCATATCCATGTTGTTTTCTTTGTCTATAGCTTTGTCTATCAATCTCAATAATCGGCTCGCTGGTGACTCAAGTTGATACCCTATTTGTATGTTACTGAAATCGTTTGAATGTATGGTTTGTGAGTTTTTGTTGAATACGAATTTGCCACCAACACGTGATTAATTTGAACTGGCCCGCTCTAGGATTTCAGGTTCAATGAGGCAGACTGAACAGCTTTGGAACTTGATTAGTTTTTTGTCAGAGAATACATTCCTAAGTGAATACCGCGGTTTTCACAAAGTGGTGTGAAACAATCATACTACAGGGTGTTTACCGTCGGTGAAAACTGGAAAATCTCAGGAAAATCGGGCATGGATCAGGAAATTTCGAGTGTGTCCGACTTTTTTCAACTACATGCAGTTTGGCACAATCACAAATGGAACATTTGATTCAATTCAACCAATAGGTCGGTTAGTGAAATCAAACGATTAGGATTTCATTCGTCCAAAAATTCAGAAAATATTCATTTAAAATATTGGGGGATATCAGTAAAATAACAGAAAAATCCAAAATGAAATTTTAGTAGACACCCTGTACCACTGCCCAAACATCATTTCTTTTAAATGAGGAATTTTCAGCTTG